TTTTTTTTTTTTAATTTATTCATTTTTTTAAAATTGAGCGCTAAAAAATTGTCCAAAACAAGAAACTCTTATTTGAAGAACTGTCGTTTGAATCCCAAATGAAATAGGGAGCGTAATGCGAATATAAAACACAGAGTAGGGAACAACCTGAAATATAAAACACGGAGTAGGGGTCAACCTGAAATATAAAACATAGAGTAGAGAACAAACTGAAATATAAAACACAGAGTAGGGGACAACCTGAAATATAAAACATAGAGTAGAGAACAAACTGAAATATAAAACACAGTAGGGGACAACCTGAAATATAAAACACAGAGTAGGGGACAACCTGAAATGTAAAACACAGAGTAGCGGACAACCTGAAATATAAAACACAGAGATGGAAACAACCTGAAATATAAAACATAGAGTATGGAACAACCTGAAATATAAATCACAGAGATTGAAACAACCTGAAATATAAAAAATAGACATGTGAACAACCTGAAATATAAAACACAGTAGGGGACAACCTGAAATATAAAACACAGAGTAGGGGACAACCTGAAATGTAAAACACAGAGTAGCGGACAACCTGAAATATAAAACACAGAGATGGAAACAACCTGAAATATAAAACATAGAGTATGGAACAACCTGAAATATAAATCACAGAGATTGAAACAACCTGAAATATAAAAAATAGACATGTGAACAACCTGAAATATAAAACATAGAGTATGGAACAACCTGAAATATAAATCACAGAGATGGGAACAACCTGAAATATAAATAATAGATTAGGGAACAAACTGAAATATAAAAAATAGAGATGGGAACAACCTGAAATATAAAACATAGAGTATGGAACAACCTGAAATATAAATCACAGAGATGGGAACAACCTGAAATATAAAACACAGAGTTGGGGACAACCTGAAATATAAAACACAAAGTAGCGGTCAACCTGAAATATAAAACACAGAGTAGGGGAAAACATGAAAGACTACAAAGCTAACACCAGACAGATCGACTAAAGATCACTTCAACAAAGGGGGACAACAAAAAGAGCACCTGAGCTGATGATACTTAACTGGAAGCGTACAAAGAAATCACACAGTAAAGGTTAGAGATTAACAGGAATTTCAACAATTAAAATTAATAGTAAATCTGTTATCGATACTATAAAAGGAAGTGTAGCGATGTATATATACGGAAGGTGCACTTACGCTTTTGCTGGCCCAAGAATCTGGAACGCCCTTCCTGTCGCTCCCAGAAACAGCCAGACACTGCAGTCCTTCAAAACTAAGTTGAAAAAACATCTTTTTCGCACTCACCAGCTGGGGTAATGTAGTTACCCCCCCCCCTGTTTCCAGCTTGCTCATATTCCTTGATGTAGATTTTGTATTGTTGCATCTTGTATTTTATTTGTGGAGAAATATCAACTGTCATTTATGGTTGACTTTGTACCGCGCTTCGAGTCTTAATTAGGGATGAGTCGTGTTTTTGAAAGGAACTTTATTATATATGTGTATATGTATATAGATATCGTGATAACTCACACAAAAAGACCAGAATCAATGGTACACTTCCAGTCAACTTATCAAAACCTTAAACTTAACAGCATTGAGGCTGATAGGCCTACCGTCCAGATAGCCTAGCTCGAAAAAATTGAACATTCTATAAAAAAAAAATCCTCCGAGGGTCAAGCTAGGGGGTTGTAAAAATGAAACAAGAAAATAGGTGAATTAATTAGGCCCTCTCCGATATCCTAGATCAGGCCCACACAACATACGGGTCACAAGCGGCCCACCAACACCTACTATGCGGCCCGCGAAGTAACGAAATATTCTTTATTATTATTATTTTCGTAACAGCGCCCTCCCCCCCCCTCCAGGTCCTATTATCTTTCGGCCCGCACAATTCTTTTATTAAGTATTACGGCCCGCCTTAATTTTGAGTTGTGCAGGCCTGTCGTAGATAATACAAACTCGTTACCATCCAGGCTGATAGCCATAAGATGCCTAAAAGAATGTAAACAAAACTTAAAAAACGTGTGGGTGCCTGCCAGCGGGTTTTGTTGCTTTGTTGTGTTTAAGCCACTAAAATTTAGCATTTTAAATCATCCTAGAAACTCCAAATTCGACATAAGAGAAGCTGATATCACATCAAGAGCTAAAAAAAAAAAAAAAAATTTAAACACTTCAGATGGGGGGCCGTGGGTGGGGGGAGGGGTTATATTGCAAAATGGGATTGGGAGAAAAATGCATGGCTAAACGGGAAAATCCAAATGATACGTGACGTTAACGGCGCTCATCGTCCTTCTAAATACGTGTTAACGTCCGGCATTTTTATTCCATTTTTGCGAAGAATGCATATCTAACCAGAATAGGTATATATGTTTTCTTAAGCCATAATATACCACCAAGTCATTTTGACCAACTTAATTTATAATAACGTTGGATTATTCTGTTGAACTGGACATCATCATCAAACGGAAAAAAATCAAATCTGGGTCATCTCTCCTTATCGATTTTCCTGTGCTTTTAATAGGTTTGAGTTTTATTTTTATGTGATTAGCTTTCATGCTCCAAGTGAACAAGGACATCAAGAATAATTAAACAACCCATAAAAACAAAGTTTTTCGTATAAACTGTTTACAAAATGTAATATCCAGCAGAGGCGTAGCGAGGGGCGCCAAAATGTGCTTTGATATTATATTATTGGTAAAATAAATGATTTGAGAGTTGAAAAAAAGAAAATGGGGCGATGTAAAATGGATCTTGTCCCCGGGCGCGAATCTTGTCCCCGGGCGCCAAATACCCTCGCTACGCCTCTGATATCGAGCAATGGTGGGTGGGGCTGAAAATTTGACAAACCATGCATACAAGTAACGCCCTTGCCCTTTATAACAATCCCAATTTGTGCTCTCTCTCTCTCTCTTCCCCCACTCCCCAAGGCTTGCAACCTTACATTTTTGTTACGCCCCTGAAATATATTAATATTCTAATTTCCACCCGCTTATGCACTGCAGATTTATTTCACCATCAATTGTAGAAAAACAAACGAAAATATTACGCACAAAATGCACTTGCGATAATTTTTTTTAAGTACCTCATTTCGCAGTTATCGGAAATTTCATTCATATCTTCTCCTTGAAAAACTGGAGGAAAACAAGCTGTTTTTTTCTTTTTTTTTTTTTTTTTTTTTTTTTTTTTTTTTTTTTTTTTTTTTTTTTTTTTTTTTTTTTTTTTGTGGGGGGGGGGGGGGGGTTGGTGCTGAAAATTTTAAATAATGTGTTGTCATCGACAACGAGGCTATGTGCTAAGTTTCAGCTCGATATGTTGATGGGAAGAGGCCAAATAGCCGTCTGAAGATTCTGTCAACGACTCACGAACAAAAGCAAAGTTAATTAGACTAATAATAGAAAGGATTTAAAAATTATAACAGAGATGAGAGATCTTTTGAACATCTATATGGGTCAAATTTAAGGGGCAGCTTCAGAATCAGGTATAAAAATTATGTGTGGCTTTTGTTTGTGCTATTTATAAATAAAAAATTAACTTTGATATTTGCCACTTAATTCACTATATTTATTTACTTTGAAATGAAGATTTTTGTTTGATCAATTTATTTTTTTTTTTGGTTAAAAAATAGCAACATGTTTATAATAGTAAACGGTAGATTGGGAATGATGATTGCTGAACTTGTTTTTAATTGGGTATATATGTATATTTCAAGCTTTTCCACGCGCAAAAAATAACGCCTTCATCCCCGGCGGGATTCGAACCCGCGACCTCTGGATTAGAAGTCCAGCGCGCTATCCACTGCGCTACGGGGACGGCCACAGTTTGATAACTCACAAAAATAGTCATTGCTAATCTCAACAAGACCGCTATTTTTAATTATTAATATCATATTATACAAGTACAATGCATACGAAATAGCCATAGCCTAATAATTAATTATTTGTTAACCATTCCACTCATCATTCAACCAATAAAAGCGATGAATATGATCAGTCAACTAACATTAAGTTATTTTATTGAGTTGAGTGTAATATTGACAGTGGCAGAGGCGTAGCGAGGGGGTGGCAGGGGGGGGGGACAGATGTCCCCGTGCGCCAGCTAGTTAGGAGCGCCAAAATGTGCTTTGATATTATTTTATTGATTAAAATAATGGGCTTGTGAGTTGAAAAAAAAGAAGAAGAGGCGCTTTATAATGGATCTTGTCCGGGCGCGAATCTTGTCCCTGCGCGCCAAACACCCTCGCTACGCCTCTGCCCAGTAGTATAATATAATATAGTATAAGTATAGTATTTATTTTTATTTTATTTATTTTTTTTTAAGGGCAGTGGGGTAGAAGTAGAAGTAAAGAAACTTGATGATTAACAAGATGACACGACATTATCAGTGTCAGAATCAGATAAATAAGTATTCATAATGATAGATATGTTTGCCTTCTGCTTCATTTTTAACATGCTAAACTTACTTACAGTTATATCATATAGTATATAGCAGGCCTGCAAAAAATGTGGCCCGCCAGCAATGACTTTGCGGCCCGCGAATGTTCTTTATTCTTCTTATTTTCTTTATAGCATTCCACCCTGTCTTCTTATATTTTTTTTTGGCCCGCACAATTCCTGTCCTATTTTCTTTTGACCCATACAACTTTTTTTTTCCATAAAGTATTACGGCCCACCTTACACTTGTTGTGCAGGCCTGGTATATAGTGTAAGTTTAAGTTAAGCAAAGGCCTACTAAAGCCTACTTGAAAACTTGATTTAAATTTAACTTGATTCATTGTACTTAAGATAAATTTAAAATAATAGCATTAATGCTTTTCTTTGTATTTTTACATGAATCCGAGAAATTAAAATTGTTGGTTAATTCTTTGATCAAAATATGATATTATATATGAAAATAAAATTTAAAAGACGTAGTCTATACCTTACTGAACTGTTGCATAGTCTTGTAGGTTCCACATAGTTTATAATTTAAAAATCTGGCAGATGGAAGCAATTTCATTGCATTTCCGCCGTTTACCAAGGGCAGCTATTCAATAAGATCATGAGGAAAACACAAGATTCAATCATGAATCCTGAAGAGATTTTTAGTATTGGCAGTGTTGTTCGCATTGTTGATTGTCATAAAGAGACTTACAAAGGCACAGTTAGGTCATTTGACTATAACACGAAAATTCTTTCCATCGGTAATTTTTTTTTGTTACCATTATTTAATATTTTCGTATTGCTTATTTGTTACTACAACGACTACGTCTACTTATCTACTTACTTAAACTTATAAATAACTAAGTCCTAGTAAGTTTTGAAGTCTACATAGTACTCACCTACTGACTTACTACTTCTACAAGTACGTACTTGGTGTTGAGTTAGACTTTTTTTTAAGTAGACTGTCTGAAGTTACTCATTTGTGTTAGGACTAGGACTTAATTATAATAATAAGTAATAATTATAAGGCAAGGCCTATGCCTATGTATGTCCTATGTAGCTATTTTAACTACTAGGCATCTACTTTTAAAAAATCAGTGAAGAATAAGAACCACCAACTTACATTTATGAGTCCCCTGAGTCTGATTTTCTGTGTAGGAGTGAACTCCCCACTGTTATTCACATTTTATTACTAGAGTACTAGAGTTAACTATTTTAATTTTTTCTGGGTATCAATACTGAATACTGAACATCAATAAAAAGATTGATTTATAATTATTTTTTCAAAACGAGGTTAATTAGTCTAATTCTAATAGTAATAGCCTAGCAGTATTTGAAATGAGGTTCTCACTTTTGGTGGTTTAAGTCTGATCATTTGGTAAATGGATTTTGTCTTTATTTATATGTTTGGGGTTTAATTTATGGTGGAACCAGTAACATAATTAAATGTGTAAAAGTTTATTTAATTAAACTGTAATTTGGGTTTTAATTATTTTGAATATTTTAAAATTGTTCTAATCTTTTTATTATATTGTACACGTTTTTGCACTTCTGTGTTTAATTGTAACACACTAACACTTAGTTTTAGGGTTCAGGGTAGGTCTAGAGATTTTAAGTTTGAGGATTTACAAGAATGATTTCCACGAGGGGAGACTGATTTTCACGCTAGGGTCATTTAGCATTCAGGTTAGGTAGAGTGATAGATTTTAGGTTTAAAGGACCCTTACCACCCCCCCACCCCCCAGGGTTGTTCACTACTTCTTGACACATCTGCCGTCATAACAACAAAGATTGTGGCTGTATCAAAAACAAATTAATGCTGTTTATGCCAGGGAAAGAGACAACCCAGATTGCATACATTTTTTAAGAATCAGTAAAATCTACAGTTTATAATAAACCAAAAATTTAATTGAAATATTTACACTCATTTCTATGATGGAACTAACTTCATTTGAACAAAACATTACATGATTTCAATAAAGCAGACCTTTTGACCCTCGAACTCCTAAAATCATTCAATATTGTCTTAAAATAATACTGTACAGTATCTTAATACTAAGTTAATAAGCATACAGTATATATAATAATGGATACAATAACTACTTTGTCTTGTGGGACCAAGTTAAGCTGTCATCAAAAAAAGGTAACTTCTAAAAGTAGATGACCAACATTTAAATTGCAATATGCAGTCACTTTGTTTTACAGACATGTATTTTGTTATAGATATTAATTTATATTGAACCTGCAGATCACATTATAATAGTCTGTCACTGGTAAAAATATATTACTGATGAAATCAAACTCAAAGTCAGATAAACATAAAATGAAATTTATTGAATTTAGAATTAACAAATGATGACATCATTTTAAAAAACCTACCAAGAAACTTGATTTTTACAATTTAGGAAAAGCTGGTGTCAAAAAAAAAAAAAAATATCCATAAAGCCTATTTCCTGCTAATATATTATAGTCTGATCAAACTATCACAAGCTGTAAATGGGTATAAGGGAGAGGAATGTTGGAACCAAACAGGGGTACCAGTATTAAAAATCATCAGCTGTTTTGTGTGTTCTCAAAATTGATTTCAACGGCCCTCTACATTCCTATAAAATATGTAAAAATCTAATGTTGCTGCGCGGAACAGTTGAGAATGCATTCTCCGTTTCTGTACTCGCTGCGGTTTGACAAATGAAATAATGTCACAAAAGTGGGGATTGGCAAAAATTGCCACTAAGGCGTCTACGCTAATATTACTGTTGCTGTGTCTTAGTGAGTTAATATGAAAACACACAAAGCAACAATATGACCATAACCACTTTCAACATGAAATTGTGGCAGAGTTAATTTTATATACTTACATATTTAGACACACACACCCCGTACACAAAATCTCCTCTCAGGATACACATAATATAATTATAGTAGGTCCCCAACCTATCCTATTTCTTGATCCATTCACTGCTGGATGATGAAAGGAGGCTCAAACTAAGAACCGAAAATATACTTTTTAATTATTATTTTTTCATAGGAAAAACGACCGGAATCTAAACATTTTCAAGTCGATTTCTTAAAATTGTAGTTTTGATAGGTGTTGGCAAACAATCGTAAAATACATCTCAAAATCTTACATTGTACACCAAAATCATTCTGATTAAGATATGTTCTCTACTTTTACAGCTCAGCTGTAGGTTAACTAAGAGGAAACTTAAAATTGTATATTATTTCCCTTAATAATATAGTGCCGTTAGTATATTATGTAGAAATAAATGTATCAATTTTTTTTAAAGGTTAAATTATAAAATATTGAAAATTTAAAGAAGTTGGATTTTTATAATCTATGTTATAATATATATGACCGTTTTCATGAATTATTAATTATAATTAATATATTCTCCTTCAGTAACTGCATTGAACAATTTCTGAAATCATTGTTGTTTATTTTATGTGTTGAAATTATAATTATAGTTCCATTGTAATTTAAACCAAAAATTATTAAATATTTATTAGTATGATGCAAATCTTTGGACTTGGACACCTTGGAAAAAGTTTTTAGTTATTAGTAATATTAATTCTATCTTAAGTCAGAATCTTCTTTGTACAAACAATATCCATGTCAATAAAATGTGTTTACTTCAATTAGACTTAGCTAGTCAATGAAACTATGAAACTCCTGTTGAAAACATTTATTGTTAATTGATAAATGTTAAGCTTTAAAATGATATTGTTTGTTTTTTCAGAGGCCCCATCACCTACTTATGCTCAGCTTTCAGATATTTATATTTTCAATTTGGACTATGTAGCTGATATAGAGGTTTTAGAAGAAAAATCTGGAGCACCTGAACCACTGCCTTTCATAAATGTATCTAAGGTTAGTACTAAGATTACACAAAGAGAGAGGAGGGGGGAGGGCGTGCAAATGACAAAAATGTGTGCACATACAACACAGTAAAAAAAATATGCCTTTAAGTAATTTAAGAGAGTTTTAAAGCTTATGTAAACATTTATAAATATATTTAAACATTTTTTTACATTTATTTTATCACAAAAATAATTTAATAGTAATAGAATGAACCAAATCTGTACAAGTACAATATTAATATTATGGCATAATTTGCTAGCCATTATTTGAGTTTGAAGCACTTGTCTAATTGAGATGTAATTTCATTCTCTCGTCATATTTAAAGATTTAACTATTTTAGATTTCTCAAAGACTTGTTGAACAAGAAAAAGACAGAATCAAACAAAAAACTTATATAGGTGTTGATGTATCTCCTGAAGGACAAAGACTTATGAACACAATATCTAAAACGTAAGTAACTTGTTTAATTTTTTGTAACTTTTTTTTTTTTTTTTTGGTTCCAAATTTATAGTTGAAAATTAATAAAGGTTTTAGTTTTTATTTTAATTTAAAATTTTAAATTTTTGCTCGTTTGTATTTTAGTATAAAATATCTAAAACGTAAGTAACTTGTTTAATTTTTTGTAACTTTTTTTTTTTTTTGGTTCCAAATCTATAGTTGAAAATTAATAAAGGTTTTAGTTTTACTGTTACTTTAAAATTTTAAACTTTTGCTCGTTTGAATTTCAGTATAAGTGACTGCAGGTGGATTGAGAAGGATATTGTTGTACTTGGTGAGGTTACAATCAAACCCCCTTATGGACCAAGAGATCTGCACTGCTCAGAAGGCAGTAAAGCACTGGCACACATCTCAAAAATTGTAAGCTTCTTGAGAATTTTTTTTTCAATACCTATGCTTTTACTCTTTTATAATATCTAGTAAAGTATTACTGGTTAAAGTTAAATAAATATCAACTGTAGGGAGAGTTAAACTATTTCATTATATTTGGATTTCACAGTCAAAAAGTTTGTGGGGGTCAAAATAAAATACCTTTCTTTAATGAAAGTCTTTTTTTTTTATAAAATAGTGTTTTCAAATTTACCAAAATGAAGCTATTAAATGGAGTTGAGCAGATACTACAGCAGAAATATATTGGTAAACCTTGATCTGTACCAATTCATTGGTAGATAACAAAACAAATATTGCATCTTTGCTATCATTATAGTATTATAGCAGTGTTGTGGAAAATAATTAGATGCGTAAAGCTAACAAATTTTCATGGAACCATTTTAAAACATTTTGATGAGAAGTGAAGATTATTACACAGATTAACATATTATGAATTAATCAAGCGAATCTAAACACCTTTCAAATAAAAATAACGCCCTGATAAAGTTAGAGGAATTATTTTGTCACACTTTTTTCCATGTTTAAGAAAACTTTTTCCATAAAATTTGCAGGTAGAGAAACATTATGATGAGGAAGCCAAACTGGGTCGACCTGTACCCTCACATTGCTGATTGAGAACATAGTACATACAGTTAAAGCCTTCTCTATTACTTTATTACTGTTGTGTTACAGTGAAAACACTTAAACTATAGATTACTAATGTTGTTGAAGTTGTTTTGGCTGCAGAAAAATCAAATATTACTCTCATTTTGTACGAAAGAGTTTAGTCCAGTGAATTGAAGTATAGCAAAACTTAGATAATTTTATTATCCAGTTCATAACAAAAGATAAAGATGAAAATACTAAAATATATGGTAGTCCATGCTTTGGGAAATAGAAATAAAGTCTAAAATATTAAAATTATGTAAAATGAGCCCTTTAAATAGTGGAGTAAAGAGTGGGTTATATCATTTCTTATTTAGCTAAATAAGAAAAGAATGAGCGAAGTTTATTTCTTTTATTGTTAATATTTCTGTCGATATTAAAAGAATTGTTTTATCAGTTTGGTTTGTTTCTTGTCATTTTTGCATGTACCCATCGCAATCAACATTTTCACAAAGCAAAAGTTTAATTAGGTCTAATTTTAGAAAGCAGAACATTTTTTTTTTTTTAATTTTAAAGTCACAGGTATCTTTTAGGAAATCAGGGTTTGGTTTTTTTTCTAGACTTTAACATTTAACGGGAACCACCAACAGGCATATCATCCATTCAACACATGCATTTTCTTATCAGTTATTCACATAAAACAAATGTAATGGCAGCACAGCATTCATGTGAGGAATGAAAAGATTATCATTTCATTGATGTTATGTCTACATTAATGACAGTTTTTGTTTTGTGCATGGCATAACCAATGACACATTTACATGTGTGTAAAGTGCATGAAATGTATTCTAGGAGTATTTTGGAATTCATAAGAGAATTTATGAAATAGAGTGATTTTTGTAATAAACTATAAATAATCCTGGCCATTATTATTTATTTACATCAGCGGATTTATTTTGCAAGTGTCTATATTTTGTGTTTATGGTTTAGGCTTAACTCTTAAGAGGATTTTTAGGAAATGCCGGATGAAATATGGGTAGTAAAAATATCCTTTAGCTTATCTGAAATTTATTCATGTATACTTCATGTAAGAAATACAAACAACATAGGTAAGATTTTAAATATCCTCAAATATCTGAGATATTATGTATAAATCATATGATCTTATTGTTTTTATTTACCCATCATAATGACAAAGTCTTGATACAAAATTAGTTTTACATGAATATTTCAAAGCTTTATTACTGTATTATTTTAAGTAATTCGAGCTAAAATGTATCAAAGAACTGTACAGGAAAACATTTAAATTGATAAAATAAAACAGTAACAGAATAAATATTTAGCTCTTTTCTTTGAGTACCGGTACTGTATTTTAATTTAGCAATTTAAATTTTGTATGATATTACATATACTGTTGGAACACAGCTTGCCAACATTAAGATTTACATGATAATGGTGGTAAAAGTTGTAAGCAAGCTAAAACGTTTGCACACTAGATAGATTGTCACAGCATACATTGTCAATGATTTTAATCATATTTGGATGTTAAATATAAGCTCAGTAGGTTCAGACAAAGGAATTTCTTATCCTCTTGTTTTACTCTTGAGACCAGACATTTTTAGGTAATTTAGTCAACCAAAATTTCGAATGGTGCATCTGTATTTAATTTAAAAACATTTGTACTAGTACTAACTTCACAAGCTGCATACAGTTACTTTTAGTTTAATGAAAGTAAAATTCTTAAATGGCCACTTGTAGATGAGTCTACAACAATATTAAAGGTATAATACTGGTATTTCAAACCATCTTGAGAATACTATGATGGCATTTCTAACAGTCCAAAGACACATCATAATTAAAATATACAAAGTACTTTAAAACATTCTTTGTATAATTCCTTGTAAGATTTAACCAGTAATGGATACCGTACTGAAAGGTGCAATGTAGTTTAATTTTTTAAAATTATTTTATGATTCAAAGTCAACTAGATTGATTAGTTTATTGATTCTGTTTATATATTTTAAATTTTGTCTAGGCTTTATTAGTTCTCATACAGGGTTGTTCATAAAGAATTTTAGCAATACACATGTACCTTTTCCTTCCCATTGTCCACACTTATCAACATGTTACTTAACCCCACCCCCTCCACCCACATACAGCATCATGCAGTGCAAAATGCCAGGAAATTATGAACAGTTATAAAGTGCTAAGAGTCTTGTAAAAGAAATATAAGAACAAGGTATGCTAGACTTAAATTCATTGAGCCTTCATCAGAAAACAAGACAAAAGGAAGTATAACAAGTATCAGATCACAGTAAAAAAACTTTAGAGATTTCCTTTTGTTGCCGGAAGCAGGATAACAGGAAGCAAAAGAATATAAATATTGGTACCGTGAAAAATAAGGTCGAGAATCTTAACGGACCAAAATATTTAGGGATACAGAAAATCTAAGGAATAAGAAAAAAAAGAAGAAATACAGGGAAATTGAGAAACATTAGTAAGAGAGTATTTGATTCATACCATGTGGAGATACGGTACCGAAACGCTGAATAAATTTGTTGTAAATAAGTCTTAATATTATTAACCATTTGATTACAGTGTAGTCAATCAGACCTGAGAATTAGAGGACAATATTTTACAGTAAAAAATCGCATTGCTTACAGTTACATTTGTTGATAATAGCAACCAAATATATAATGTGATCTCCCCATTAATATTTTTTTACCCTCTTTACGGCTTATGAAAATAAATTTTTTGCAAACAGATCAGTCTGCAATTTAAATGTCAAACATACTAGAACACACCCAGTGTCTCTAAAATAGTATTAAGCTATAACAAGCAATGCTAGCTTGGGAATGTCAGCAAGATCCTTTACACCAGCTTGTCTGCATCTATCTGCTTTAGAACAAACCCCCTCTGTGTGGACTCTGGAAGTGAAAAATAACTACAGACTATTAAAACAATGTTAAAAATGATATACATTTGATTAATACACACGATTTGCATGAATTTCAGGAAGCAGCCAGTTCTTAATGCTAATTTGTATTAAAAATTGATTAGCACCAATTACTTAAGAGGACTACAGAGTTTAACAACCATTACTCTTATAAAAGTATTTTACAGCACTTACATATATTTAGATTTTCAAAAAAATGTGTTAAAAGCATGGATGATGTACATGATTTAATTTTAAAAAGCCCTCTCAGATAAATTTTATGTACATTTTTCCTGGAATGCAACCCACATGTAATAATCACATAAAACCAACTAGTCACACAGGAAGATCATTCTGTGAAATATTCCCAGTAAACAAAACCACATTTTTGTCTTTAAAAACTTTAATTATTTTGTAACAAGGTCAAAATAATAAAATTAAACATTTGAAAGTAGATTGTTACACAATGGGTTACAAACCTGTGGTAGTCAAAAATATTTGAAGCTTATTGCACATAAACCAATTTCCCCACACCTAAATATCCTTATAGCAGATTTTTCAAAGATTTTTTCAAAATTATCAATTTACCTAAAATAACTAATTTACACAATCATTTTTATTCACGATATATTATATACCAAGTGAAAAAAAGCCAGCAATTGATTTAGGTTTTTTTGCATTAAAAATAAACTAGAAGTAATGAATGATGTGCAATGAAATTTTCTACATACACTTTTCATAAATTAATATCAATCGGCATGTTATTTAAACATACCGTACATCTAATAACTTCTATGGAAACAAACAGAACTACTTTACTTGTTCTGTAACAATCATCCTATCGGTCAATGATAGAAGTCTGATGGGATAAGCTTTATGGCAGCTGTTTTGTCACTCATTCAGCACAGCTGTTCTGTTCCCCCAATCAGCACATTAGTGCTGGCGGCAATTTGATACTAAGAAATATATCCACTCCAACCCCTAAACTAAGAAGCTCATGCAGCATAGGTAAAAAGACAGTTTCCTTATCAAGACCAGTTTGTCTCCAGAGTATCGCATGGTTTAGGTGCATGCACTTTTCATACATGACACTTTGCAGCTCCCGGCATATGATAAGACTGACTCTGTGCCTCACGGTAGAGGCGATGACTAAAAAAAAAAGCCATGTGGGGTAAAGGTTAAGTCTGACATAAATTTTTTCCTTGTGTGCTAGTAAGTCAAAAAATATTTTAAAAATGAAACATGGGAAATGTCATCAAGCTGGGTGTCTTAGAAACATACTTCAAAACAGCAATAAAAGGGTTTGCTGGTACAAGACCAAACAAAGTGAGGACTGGAATGTGGGTGATAAAATTATAAGGAATCAAAGTTATTCCTCATAATTTTGATTAAAGTGGATTACCGAAAAAAAAATCAAAGAGGATGCTCTTGATACCATCTGCAGCTTGTAAAATACAAATAGAAACTTAGGCGATCAGCTAGTTCAAAAAAGTAAATTTAGTCTCATCCTCAAGAGTTTGTCTCAAAGATTACTACCTCTTCACGTATAAACTATGTCATCTTAAGTGTTAGAATGTTAACTGTATCAATGATATTACGTAAATGATGTGATAAGAAGTTCTTTACACAAGGCACCAGTTCATTTTCATATGCAATGATCTAAATTCAAAAGCATTTGAACATTCAAGGCATTCTTTAAAGTATAAATTTAAAAAAGATGTTAAGTTAATGACCAAAATACTATCTACATTGTTAATGAAAAATGAAGATATACAAATCTTACCATTTATGACACATTTCATAATTGGCTAAGATATTCACAAGAGCAATGATAAATAATTTACGTTACCCAGTCTCAAATGTAGCAATATGTTAAATTTCATTTTTTGCTTCCCCTGCAGTGCAGTTCTAAATAATTTTATGATATTGAAATGACAAGAATGTGAACAATACCATTTTTAATGTTCAATCATAACATTGACTAGCTTAGAAACAAAATGTGCTTTAGTAAAACTGAAGTTTAAATCTTAAAAAAGGGATTAAAAATAAATTTTAAATGTGGCTTATTACATAAATAATATGTAGTAAATATAAAAACAAAAATTAATTTTACTTTATTCAGCATATTTTTTGTTACAAATCACTGTTTTCATATTAATTTGCTGATAGATCTATAATTTATATATCACATGAATTTTAGACTTTATTTAATAACAAGATTCCTTAAAACTCTACTATTGTCCTGATAGGCTATCTCTAAGCAATGTCTTTCACATTGTCTTATTAATGACACGATTTCTTTTAACTCTACTATTGCCCTGATAGGCTTTCTCAAAGCAATGTCTTTCATATTGTCTCAGGCTATGACAAGATTTCTTATAATTCTACTATTGTCCTGAAAGACTATCTCTTAACAATGCCTTTCAAATTATCTCAGTTATGACAAGATTTCTTATTATTTTACTATTGCCCTAATAGTGAAAGACTATCTTTTAACAATGTCTCTCACAATGTCTCAGGTTATGAAAAGATTTCTTATAATTCCACTATTGCCCTGATAGTCATAGGGTATCTCTTAACAATGTAACAATGTCTTTCATTGGCTCAGGTTATGACAAGTTTGAACAACATGAGAGGACTTTCACTACACTTTTCTGTCTTCAAGAGGGCGCCTGGCTCGACACCTGTAGCTGCCAAACACTCAGCTGTTCCATAATTCATCAACTGACGATTTGAATCCTGACAACGTAAGATAAAATGTCATCATATTAATAACACGTGTAATGAAAAAATGCTACAGAATAACAACAGGGAATATACAATGCATTATTCATCTTTAAAAATCCTTTCAAAATAATATAACGGACTTAATTACCTTTCCTGACCAAATCCAAGTCTGAGGGTTCGAACCTTTACATTTCATGAGTCTGGCATAAAGTCCTTCATCTTGATTTACATCCAGGCACAATAAGTTTGCCAACCTTAAGTCCTTTTGCTCACTTTCAAACCAGAGCTTGAGGGATTATGTGGATCATAATCATCATTAAAAATGTTTTTAAGATTCCGTGACAGAAAAACACAATTCAAAGTCCAAAGAAATTATAACGTAAACAGAGAGTAATTGAATAAAAATATCCCAATACTCTTAGAGCATCAAAATGTAAGGGATCATATGTGACAGTTTATTAGTCACGAATTCAATTTTTAATTCTGCAAAAATTAGATATGAAATTTTGTTTAAGGAAACTTTTTTTATAGTAATGGAGATTTCAATTCTTCATTATTTTTTTTACAAATAAAAGCATCTGGCATACAGGATAAATAACATTTTATAGATACTGTTGATAATGGTGTTAATGTGCCATCTATTTTAACAGGAAATCTCTACCTGATCTTTGTCTCCAGGCTTGCACATAGCAAGCTGAACAAGTGCTCTTTTATCATACACTGTTTTTTCTGACTGCACACACAGGCCAGAGCTTACATGCTTCAACTAGAGAAGAATATAATTATAATTTAGGCACCATGAATATTTCTCTATCAGACTTCTCTAAACTGATTTGATTAAAGGAGGAAGGTTTATGCAATTTAAATACCCAGGATGAGTTTAAGTTAAGGTGCTTAGGTATGAATTTAATTTAAGTGACACATGGGGAGACATTATTTTGTATAGATCATGTTTTGCAGTATGGTTATTGAAATGATGCATGTATGCCTCATATTAATTTATTTTAATACTAGAAAATATGACCCAGTGTTATTGAGGTACTAATGAAAGGAATATTGCTCTACTTTCTACCTGCTTATGCGAAGTATCAACATCTAGAAAATACTATTTTTAAATCCTTTATATCAACTTTGCTTTTGTTCTTGTTTTTAAGGCAAAATCTTCAGACAGCTAAATGACCCATTTCCCATCAACCTATTGAGCTGAAATAGACCCGTTGCCGATGACAAAAAATTCTATTGAATTTCAGCCCCATACCCAAACCCCCAAAAAATCTGTTTTTCAAGGGGAAGATGAAGAAAATATTATGCCACTGATTTCATGAAATAAAATTCCAGATAACTGGGCTAAATGATATTCTTTTTAAACAAATATTGCAACTGCATTTGGTGCATAATATTTACTTTCGTTTTACTGAAATAGTTGGTGAAATAAATATGCAGTGTAAAATTGGGTGGGACGTTAGAATATTAATATAAAATAAATTTATAAAAAATGCATAGAAAGGATTTTTATATGGAAAAAAAAATGTTCGGGGGTTGTTGAAATACGAATGTAAGTTGAATATTGTTTTAATGTTTTATATTCTCAAAACAAATATTATTACAATTTCAAAGCCCTTGAAGTGTCTATTTAGGAAATAGTACATCAGACTTTTTTTAAAGACATATCTATTTATAGATGTTCATGTTTCTTACATCACAGAATTTTTTTAGAAATTTATTATTAAATAGGCCTACCCAACACTTTTTCACACCCCTGAAATACAAAGAAAACTTTTTTTTTTAAATTGTAATAACATGTCCTTAAGTTTATGAACCATTTCAAATACTTAGTAGAGATAAAACAGTTGAAGATTACTCACCAAGCCACGAGCCCTTATTATTACTTTTGAAGGTCTGAAATTGTTATCCACTGCTTGAGCATGAAGAGACTGGCTAAGATCTGGTAGCTTCTGTAAAAAGTAAAAAAAAAAAAAAAAAAAGGAAACAATTCTCATTCATATTTTTCAGCATAAGAAAGGTTAAAACTCCAGTAAGCCCAACAAACTATAATCTCATTTACAAAAACATTTAAGCTTTTTCAAAATAAATTGAACTAAAATTACTTACTGTTAGTTGTTCTGGATAAATGTTTTCCAAATACCATTTAAAAGATTTACAGTTGAGATTTTTACGCAACTGAACTCGTCCTGTAATATTTCCAAACTCTATGTCTTCTGCTCTTGGGTTGATGTGAAAATAGTATTTCTTGTATTCATCCAACCAAACATGAACCATTCGAAGTGTATTCCTAGTAAAACTGTCATGAACTGGGGCCCCATATGGCCTTCTTTTACGAAAGATGTGGCCTACACGAGAACAGGGCACAATGACAAGATGTCCACCACACTGCCAGATCTGTTGTATTCACATCAGTATAAATCTTTTATAAAGTATTACAACACTTGGGCTACTTATTATCATCACAACACATTACGAAAAATATGAATTTAAAACTCTTGCTCCTCATTCAAATAAATATTGTTCTAATTTATGACAAGGAAAGTCATTACGGAAGCTACAGTTTAACAAGAAATTTTAAAGAACTAGTTTTAATGTTCTGATCGTGGAACTAGAAGACATAGGTCTTAAAACAATGTTTCAATTGGTTTAGCGTGTTCTTAGACTTATCCTAAGTAGTTTTTAAGAACTTACCCTGAAAGATAACTCTAAATTTTCCCCTCCCCACACCTCCATGCCGCTATCATATTCCCCGAGATGATGAAAGTAATTCCTGTCAATGGCAAACAAACCACCTGCCATGGTTGGAGATCTAGAAAATAAGTTCATAAATTAGATCCTATTTTCATAATGACAAGTGTCATGCAAGTGATACATTTTGAAAACTCAGAACATCAACTTTATATGGATGCCTTTCTTCTCAAGTATGAAAAAAAGGGCTATATGTAAAGTAAAATTATTGCATCACAGAGCATTTCTGCAACTTCTAAATGATATTTAATAAATAGCTAAATCTCAATTACGGATATGGCTCAGGTTTCTCAAATATCTTTTTAGTCAAGTCAGGAGGTAGAGGGTCCCACTGATAATGCATTCCCCAGTTGAAGCCTCCTCTAACTAAATCAGAAGCTTCATAAAAAAATGAGTCAGCATTAATGATGTCCATCACTGGAACAGAAACTGTGTGTGGGTCAGTTTTGACAGCAGCCAGCAAAGGTTCCAACCATCCAGTTGTTACTTCACAATGACTATCCAAAAACAGTAACACCTGTGAATGTAATTTGTTTTTTTTTTAATGGCACATTTGTTTTTTTCAATAATGTTGCACTAAAATGTGAATGTAACTTTTTTTTAATATTAAGACATAAAATAAGCTCTTTTATTGTGGGGATGACCTGGCTTTAAACAATTTAAACCCACTTACTCACGTACAGCCCTGCCAACTTTTTGGGGCAAAATCAGTGTTTTGCCAGAGGTGGTATTCAGCCTGACTTTAAAAAATTGGTGATACATGAGATTCACTCAACCCTTCAGGGAAGTTTCTACCCAATACAGGGATGAAACATTCATTATTTAATGCCCTTTGAGTTCTTCATGATTATCATCAAGAGAGTAACAAGATCCAATTAAGTTCGCATAAAGTGGGTAAAATGGAAATTAACTTGAACCATAGATCGAACTTCAAGACAAAGGTGACAACCAGTGATGAATTTATATGCTGCAGGATCCTTGTGAACCCAAATTAAATCACATGTCATTAGAATTGCCTTTACTGGCATACAAAAACTGTTAGTGCTTACACATTTTTTATGATGCCTATCTCAAAGTTTCTTTCTTTAGTAAAAACTACTGACAAATGTGACACCAAGTGAATCCTTTTATATTAGAGTGCAAATGCCTCAAGGCCAATGTTTTGGTTATTTGTTGTTTTCTTTTTTAAAAGCAGTTACCTGACCAGTTGCTTGTTTCGCACCATACATACGGGCTCGGATAAGACCAAGCCGCTCTTCACTGTGAAAAAGTTTGACTTTGGGATAACTTTTTAGATAAGTGTCCAGCTCCGTCTTCAGGTAATCTTAACAAATCAAAGAAAGAATTCTTAAAACACATCCAAATATCAGGCTTGTTTGCGTTTCTAATTTACTTTAAACTATTTCCTGTGCTGAAAATAATTCAGGTAGGCAGACAATAAAAATCTCAATTCATAAACTGCAATTTAATTGACCCATTTAAATATCCTTCATAATTAAAATTAATATATTAGATTTTATAAATTATAAATCAAAATGTATTTGCAACTAACCCATGTCACTGTTATCATCTACTAAAATAATTTCATGGATAAGATTCGCTGGTGAACGTTCTAAAACTGTGTGCACTGTGCGGAGGAGTGCAGACAAAGCTTCGTTGAAAAAACAAATAACAATACTGGCACTGGGTAAATCCTGAGGGTAGTCTATTTCCTTACATCTGAAATAAATTCTCATTAAAATAAATAAAATAAAATGCAAATAAAAAGAAAAGTGTAGATATATTTTTAATAGCTAGAAAATAAATAATTTTAAATCCTCTGGGTAATGGTTGTCATGGTTATCATTCCAGATGAATTAAATTTAAATGTAATATTATCTAGCTTTCTTTTTATGGAACTATGGGGAGATCAAGGTATTTTTTCTAGAATTCTTTTTTATTAGTTTGCAGTAGCTAAATGAGTGCTCTGAATATGCTTATTTTATTAATCAGTTATCAGGTATACTTGTTAAATATCTCTTTTATCAATTTTAAATATGTACACACAAAAAATAGGTAGAGGTAAGTCTCAATTTCACACTTCTTCAAAACAAGGTAAAAACATTTGACACCAGGCAAATGACACAATTTTTTAATTTATGAAATTTAAATTTTCTAGAATTGAAACAGTTTAGTATTTTGAGTGCCTTGAGCTAAACTCTAATTTTACCATTAATAATGATTCCTGATAACAGATTCTCTTTCCATTAGTACTTCTAGGCAAAGTACCATTTGACCATAGCATGAATACCAATACTAAACGTTAGTAAATATAAATAATACCTTCGATTTCTGAAGTCTGGGAGAGGTCGAATGTAACTCAACTTATCACTCAACATTTGATTAAAAGCATGAGTGTGATAACCTGTAAAAAATAATTTTGGTAACCATAAAAGTATTCATCATTTTTTTTTTTTTTTCAAAAACAAGAAATTTTGAAGATAAAGAAATTTTGAAGATAAAGACTTTATGTACGGTATAAAATAATAATGATCTCAAGGTGACTCTTTTTTCTTTTTTTTTAAATTTTTCAGGGCTTAATACGTTTGAAATTAATAAGCTTTTTTTTAATGTTTGGGGGCAATTTTGTTTGTACAGATAGGTATGTTTGTTTGTAAGGACGCCTAGTTGGTGTCAAAAAAATAAATGTTGCACTAGGAGGAAAGAGATATGAAATTGGAATTTTTCTGCTTACATAATATATGGATTGCCTGTTAGTAATAATTAACACTTGGATTTAACACCTAACATTAGTTAAAATTAAGATGATAATGCCAAAACATGACACTTTTCATCATTACAGGTACTGGTATTCATTTTAAAAATTTAATACGTCTCACATATCTTTATAAATTATAGTTAACATTTTCAAAGTATATAATATATATGAGCAAAAATTCTTTAATTTCTTTAAAATTCTATGAATTAACTGACTACTTTTTCTAGGTGGATAAACCTACCTGCATCATAGTTTCTTTGGTCATCAGCTGTTACGACTTTCCCAAGATTTTCAAGGTATATTTCACTATAAATCTGTACATCATCACTTTCCAATCCTTTGTTAGGCAGCGTGTCATGTACACCTAGTCTTGGGCGCAGCCGAGCATACTTATGATGTGCATAAATGGATGTGAAATTCCAGTATAAGATAAACCAAAATACCACACTAAATATGATCAGAGCAATAATAAGTCTTGACCTTTTAATCCTCAACATGTTGACAGTTTTTGTTGATACCGATATTACTGTTCTCACACATTATCCTGACAGAAGATGTATTATCCTGAAGAATGGTGACCAGCTACAGATAACACACACTGAAAGGCAAAGATGTAAAGGTAGTCCCTTTATTAATTTTATGTGATTACTAATTGGTGATTCAGTCTAATAGATGTTAAAAAGGTGACAAAACAATTTATATTTTGTAATCAAAATTATTAGACCTATTTTTGAGAGTGCAGAGTGCCAAGAAAGAGTGTACACTCTAATGAGCCACCATATAATTTAATGTTAAATTATTAGCTTTAGAGGTAAATATGATGTGGGTTTTATTTTTAAGAGGTTGATTTTGTAAATTTTTGTATCATAAAAGTAGCCTATTGATTGCATTACGTCAAAAGACATCCAAAAAAAATCTCACATCTTGAATAAGTTAGAATACAAGACTTATATTTTTACAAAATTAAATAGTAACCTATATGTGCCTATAACAACTTAATATAATATAGGTTTTAACAAACATTCGGTTAAGTCTAATCTTTTAATAAAATTAATAGTATCAATCCAATTTAAGGAACATTTTTATATTTTGTAACCACAAATTAAATATTTTGGAAAGCTTCTTACTTAAAATATATCAGGACAATTGATTTATATTTTTTAGGACAATGGCAACTTTAATTAATTTACCAGCCCTACTTAATAAATATTTTTTTTTAAAGCAACTTAGTTTTTACTTATTGAGTACCTAAAATATGCTTTAAGACATATAAGAGGCTTAATTAGTAAACTAAGTTATTATTAGGTATTTCAGTAACTATAAACATTTTTACACTAAACTAAATTTAAGTCTTAATAACTTGGTGACAGCATAAGATAGCCATGGGCTAAGCCATGGTTTCCAAAATGATTTCCTTTGGGTTTGCTGGCTGAAACAGTAACTAAAATAAGTTGATTTTAAGGTAATTTTTAGTTTCAATTGGTATTTTTCAGTTTGAATGCTCCCATTTTAACATATCTCTGTGAGAGTATATTTTCAAGACCTCTTTTTTTTTAAATTAAAAACGAGAAACAATACACATTGATAATGAGATAAGGTTGGATAATGAAAACTCAACTGGAAATTTGGAGCTTGTTAACGAGTTATAATTTCAATCAGTGTACCATATTAAATATATGGTTTGTTGTAACTAAAAAATCTGTTTCCTTTTACCTTATTCAAAAGTCTTTATTGTTATTACTAAATCAATAAATATGACACATTACGGGGATTGCAGGTCACTTTGGTTATATGAAATGGGGTTGCAGCAAAAAGGTTGGGAAAGTAAAGGGTCATTGTTAAAATGGATAGTGGGGAGGGTGTGTAAAGTATCTGGCTGACATCCACAAGCCAACATATTTTTTTTATTATGCTACATGTGGCCACTGCAAGTATTCCCATTTGTTAATAATTTTTTAATTGTAAATGTCTTCTATCACTGTTCTTTTTGTTGTAATCATTTTGTACAATTCAAGGTACACTGGCTACAGTTCTGAATAAAGAGTGTTTTATAGAAAGAACTTTATTTTCTGTTTATTATTTTCTTGGTATGATTTTGTGTTACATATTTTGATGACATCAGTGAGCTCTGATTATTGAAAAACATCAGCTATTATACTTCATGGCTTTTTGCTCTGCATAGTGCCAGAAACGTATGCGGATTCCCACAACTTGGGGGGAGGGGGTGTTATGGTGTGTAAGTACTGTAAGCCACATGTGGACAGGGGGGGGGGGGTAAACGTGTATATTTTTGAACGTCCTTTGCCTTTATGGACAACCCTTATATACTAATAGGCTAATACCTCAAACAAATGGTAAGCATAAGCATCACACTGGCCTATGACAGGCAATGAATTTGTCTAAATTACTAATTGCCAATCTCTGGCAACGAAGGATTCACATTTTAACTTTCAGACATAAAATTATTATTTAAATTTATAATTTACAACTTCAGCAGCTTTAACTTTCCTATTCCAATAGAATAAATAGTAGAGTAATGTAAAGCTATAACTAAGTAGGCCTAAATAGAATATAATAATTAGGGTAAAAGGGGATAATAGGCTCCATGGGGTATTAAGCCCCAATTGCTCAGTTCATACAATAAAATGCTTGGGCTAATGTGAAGACCCTGGTTCCAATGCCGATAGGATCAAAACCCTGGTTCCGATAGGGTCAAAATCCAGGTTAGGGATAAGTTTAGGGTTCAGGTTAGGTTTAGGGATAGATTTAGGGTTCAGGTTAGGTTTAGGGATACATTTTCATTTAGGACATAAGGTTTTGCCTTTTTAAATGAGAATGAGTGCTTTTTGCCTCCAGTTTTCACAGTTTTCATACCCAGCTTAGCTAGCTTTCTTCAGACCTACTGAGTCTTGTCTGTAGTATTTAATGATTATATATAAAGTTTAGCCTTTGGTGGGTCTCCCTTATAAAGGACAATAAGAATATAATATATTCATATGCATTATGTTAACTGTATACGTATACTAAGCCTAATATTCATTACTGTACCAACTGTGTACTAAGTTGTAAGTATTGTCTATTGGCAAACTATTGGGGAAAACTGAGATTGAAAGCAAGCAGTAGATTACAGTTTAAAACAAAGTCACGTGATATAAACACATATTGGCATAAAAACCTTCCTAATTTTTTGGTTGAAAGTTATCAAAACTAATAATTCTAAAGTAGTTTGTTAAATAAAGCTAAAGATAACAATTCCAATCAATTAGAATTAAAAATCAAGATTAAGTCGAGTTAGTTAAGAATCAAAACTGAAGCCAAAAGGTTAGCACATGTTTATTTATTTAATAATTTAATAAGCAAGGGTTACAAGTTACAGTTACAACTTTAAATAATTAAATTAAGATTATTATAAAGAATAAACTTCGTATTTTTAATTTGACAAATAAACGATAAGTTACTTTCTCCGTCAAGATCCAGATAATTATGATGGATGAAATTCCTAATTAAAAATATTTTGGTGTTTTGTTTTATTATTATTTTTTTTAAAATAATTTTATGAAAATTCATGAATTAAATAGTTTTAAAATTATGGGGCTTGATTAGGCTAATTAATTTTTAAAGAATAATATATTTTAATGAGTTCAGAAGTAAGCAGTGAATTTAAAAAGTTCCCAACAGCAACAGGTAGACTATTTGAAGTACATCGGATTGACTTTAAATTTAACTGTACTCACATTTAAAGCAGGGACATCAATTGTCCAGGGCAGGGAGGGGCATTTGCCCCCCCCCCCTTTCTGTAAGATTTTTGTTCACTCCCTATTAGTATCTAGGACAGAAGAAAATCAAATGTAGCGGAAAATAAAGAAGGAAAATAACTAACTATTCGTTCATTAAACAATAAACAATAGAAAACATAATATGGCAAATCCTATTTAAATTGATATACAGGGCGGGCCAATAAAAGTAAAAGTGAGAACATTTCGTAGCGTAATATTTTACGAGATGTTCTCACTTTTTTTGGCCCACCCTGTATGCTGTGGTGCCTCCAGTAATAAACAACACGCCGGGCAAGTTTTGGTTTTGCCTCCTTCCCCCCCCCCCCCCCCNCCCCCCCCGGCCCGGTTCTTCCGTAAGAAAACTGAAATGATGTCCCTGCTTTAAAGCTAAGAATTTTTCATCGCCCGTCGTAATAAAGTTTCCTGTACGTAGGCTTACATTTAAAAATATTTTTTTAAACATTTGAACACTGTTTTAAATTGTTTTCCAAATACATAATTCGCCTCCACTGACGCTTGTTTAGAATTCATAAGATTCCTTAAAAGAGAGAGATAATTATATGCGCAAAATGGAAATTTGTTTGAAAGAAATTTCTTCGACGGAAAATTGATCGACGGAAATTTGATATTTTTGGACGCATTATTTTGTTTTAATATATAGCATAGTGCGTTCAAAAAGAAATTTGACGCAAAATTAGATCGTGTGAACTAAAATATGAATTCGACCAAATTTTCGTTCGGCCAAATTTCCTTTCGATCAAACTGCCGTCGGTCAATTTTCCGACGAAAAAATTTCTTTCAAACAAATTTCCGGTAACCAAATTTCGTTAGTTGTCATCCTACTAGCCCTAACCTAAAACCGGTTTCGGTGTCAGGCCTTGATATTTACAATTTAGTGGTAGGCCTAGTCAACAAGGTCAGGAAAAAAAAAAGATGCGTGCTGAATGATAAGCTTATCTCGGTTTGAAAATGCACCGTTTTCGTAGCGATAGATAGTCCCAGGCTCATACTACTCATACTCATAGCCATACTAAAACATTAATTCTTTACTGCTATAAGTAAAATTTATTACTTTTATAAAGCCTTTTTTAACCTTAGATAATTTATTTAAAATCCTCACAAATATTTTTCTGTATGCTCTCTTAAATGCACTGCAGTTAATGGGTGATACATTTTAATACAATACCAGCACATAAGTATTTAGTGTAGATATTTACTAGTATTAGTATGCGGCATGGGCTGCCTTTCTTCAGTTTCAGTCAGTATAATAAAAAAAACAATTAGAATTAGAAGGATATGATTATGTTGTTACATAGATTGCAGTTGAGCTAACAGAAGAAACTTTCCACACGTCTTAATTGCTCCACGTATTGTCATTTTATCAAGGGGGGATATAAATCTAGAAGTCATAAAAATGATGAATTAGACTGATTAGTGAAAAAGCATACTTCAGATAGAAGGAAGTCACACTGACACAGGTGACACAATTCCCGAATCATGGCTCTAGTCTAGTGATCTCAGATAATCGAGGATTCTCTTATCCTAATGACACCAGACTTGGCCACGTCTGTCAAAAGTGTAAGGACTGGACTGGCAAGCTGTTCACTTTTCATTTAGGACATCTATTCATCAATTAAATGGCACTCACGTACTTAAAGCTGGTTTCAGTGCCTTTAATATGTGTGATAATTTCCTATTATGCACCCAATTATGAAGTAGTTACTCAATCTGTCTGTAATATGACCTATGGCTATGTGGACCATCTGCTTTTCTTTTGTAAAATATCTGATGGAAAAATAATTTTAGATGCTAATTCCTTTGAGAAACCACTCCCGGAGTACTCAGAAATGGAAGTTTATGAATTGTGTATGCTGAAAAACAGAGATGAAGAGAGTGAGAAAATTAGGGGTAAGAATCTTATCCATTACCATTTGAAAATATTTGCTGAATGGCTCACTCAATTGGGGCATATATATTTATGGATTGGTACTTTTGATCTACTGGGGTTTAGATTTAGAGAGAATCAACCCAACTGTCAACTCCAAACAAAGTATAAAATGGAAAATTTTAATGAAATTTTCAAATTCATAAGTCATAAGCCTATATAATCTATATATTTTAACTCAGCAAAAAAAAAATAATGAAGTACTCTTCTAGTTGTGAAAAGTAGTATTAGGTTAAATATAGAATTTAGAATGCAAAGTTAATGTTTTATCAAATAATTCAATAATTATTGATTTGAAAAATAACTTATTTGGGGGAATAGAGACCTAAATTTAATTATTTTTTTAATAAAAACACCATCTGTCGCATCAGGCTCAGGTCCAAACAATTTGATTATTATTGAAAATATGTATAACTATAAGCGCATATTATGTAAGACACCTGAGGTAACTTTTTCCACAATTTTTATTCATCTAATAAATTTAAATTCATAAGCCTATATAATATATATTTTAACTCGGCAAAAAAAATAATAAAGTACTCTTCTAGTTGTAAAAAGTAGTATTAGGTTAAATGTAGAATTTAGAATGCAAAGTTAATGTTTTTTAAATAATTCAATAACTATTGATTTGAAAAAAAACTCATTTGGGGGAATAGGGGCCTAAATTTAATTTTTTTTTAATAAAAACACCATCTGTCGCATCAGGCTCAGGTCTAAACAATTTGATTATTATTGAAAATGCGTATAACTATAAGCACATATTATGTAAATCACCTGAGTTAACTTTTTCCACAATTTTTATTCATCTAATATTTGATTTTTTTCTCAAGGCTATCATCAACATGGGTTCAATGAATTTGTTAGTGAAAAAGTTGGTCTTGTGCGTGAAGTGCCTGATGTGAGAAATACATTGTGAGTATTATCATTAAGTTTTTAATGGGCATGCTGTCATCAGTTTTTGGATGTGCCGCAATAAAAAAACATATGATGAAATTGAAGTGAGTGTTCCTAAATATGGGCATAGTCATTTAGTGTAGATATTTAGTGGTTTTTTGTATGCATAGCAAGATGCTTGTTTGTATCTGGGAATTAGCTAGCTAAGTTGAGCTGGAAATTTACATTATCTGTAGGAAAATTTCAAACTAGTTCCTAGGTTTGATGCTGAAGTTTAATTTCAAAATGAATATCTCTGCTTCTACTCTTCAAAATGTTTTGTACTGTTAACTTTTAAAATAAAGATGTCAACCCTCTATTAGGCTACTCACTTTAAAGTTTTTGATGAAAGCTTAGAATTAATCTGTACCATACTAATCTAAGGCAAAAAGTTGTTAAACTGTTTGGTATATGGTATGGTTATATTTAAAATAATATTTTTCCTGAGATTTTGTATTGATAAAGAATTTATTTAAAGCACATATATCCTTCTTGCTAGGCAGCTAAGTCAGTATTGCAATTGCGTAATCTATGGATTTAATATTACAATACTCATTCTCACTTTTTTAAGTCATCATGTGTGTTATGAATGGCTAAAAGTGTGTGGGGGGTGGGAATTGATATATTATTGTAGCTAGAAATAGCAAATATAGCACCCTAAAGTATGGCAGTACCGGGTAATTTAATGCATAAAATATGCAATTAATTTTCTCCTGCCCTTTTCCAAAAATAGGTTAAAGCTTTCTAAAACCCAGGATGCAGTCAAAAAATAGAAATATCCTCTTAAATATTTATGATTCATGATACATTCTTTTTTTTACAGATGTCATGACAAAAACTACAGCTCACACCTTCCAATGGCAAGTATCATAATGTGCTTCTACAATGAAGCATGGTCCACACTTCTTCGTAGCATTCATAGTATAATAAAACAAACACCAGCTGATCTTCTCAAAGAGATTATTCTTGTAGATGACAACAGCAATTTAGGTGAATGTTGTTTTAATTTCCGCATACACTTAAATAATTCTATTTAAACATTTGCTTATTTGTATTAAAAACTCCATTATCGGTCTCATTGATATTCTAAATTAATTTAATGGCAACTTGTCTACAAAATTTTAAAGTTCACATTCTTTTATGTATTTTTTTTTAAATTTTAGTAAGTTTCCATAATGTACACAACAAACCTTGAAAACTATCTTTAAAGAAATTTTGAATTGTTAAATTGTATTTATGAAGAGAGGCAGGAGAAAAAGAGAAAGACAGAGAAAAAGATAATATTAAAGAGTGAATGAGACTAAAACTAGGTGATGCTGTGCGAAGTGTAGAAAACAGAGAGGAATGGAGAAGGATAGTTTTCATGTCATCTGTGGCGCCCAAACGGTCCAAGGACTAAGGGACATGATGATGATCTATGAAGATGAATTGTACATTTAATTTTAATGTAAATAGAATTTTTCAATGTTTCAATTGTATGATCACAAAGTGTTAAACTCAATATTTATATTCAGTTAATTAGTTTCATTTTTTGTTTTAAACAGCCTTATAAATTAACATTGTTATAGGTCACCTTGGTGAGAAACTGGATAAATATATTGCCAAAAATTTCACAAACGTGAAGCTTGTAAGGAGTAAAGAGCGCTTAGGTCTGATTCGAGCGAGAATGGCTGGAGCTAAACAAGCTACTGGTGAGGTATGAACAGTTTACTGTTAAAATAAGTATGCTGTCAGAATATTTAAAATGAATGGTAAATAAAGACTGATTGTGCTGTTGTGAAATAAAGTCACAGTGCCAGTAAGACTGACTTGTTACCCTTATTGTTTGAAATGTTGAGAAAAATGGCCTCTCTGACCATAAGCATTATCCCAAGGCAAGGCACAGTGAAAAGGCATCTAGTTCTAGTAAAATCTGGTTCAGAGCACTTCATAAAGTTAGCACAGGTTAGGGACCAGGATAAAATTAGTAGATCTCAATTAGGGGCCATCCAAATAGTACATATACAAAAATGACAATCCCCCCACCCACCACATGCCTACTTTTTGGACACCTCTATGTATACGTACAATGAGCTTTTGACACATGCACCCCCCCTCCCCCCAAAAAAAATTTATGTGTCAAAACTTTTCAATGCTGACTGTTTGGCAAGCCCAGCTGTGCCCAAAATATGCACATCGTCACCCTGAGGTGCCATAATGCCCTGGGGCAAGGCCATGAGAAGGGGATGGGGGAGGGGGAATAATCCATAGATAGGACCTTAATTGTGAATTAAACTATAAAATCCCTTTTACAAAGACAAGGGGCGCCAAAAATCTTCTTGTTACTGCTTTGCACTTTTTTCTATATATTGAGAGGTACCATTTTCAGGCTCCGCTGCGGGCGCCACTTTTCCTTGGTACCACTCTGCCCTGCTGCGGCTTCCTCATAGGGGCACAATGAAAGATTCACAATTTTCTTTTCTTTTTTAATCCAACATATTCTTAGTGGCTTACATATGCTTGGTGACCTACCTACATGTTCTATGAATTTTTACCCAACTCTTATTTTTATTTAATTTTTTTAATGAATTAGGTATTTCAAAGTGTACTTGTATGAATTTAACTTGGGGTGCCTGGTGAAAACCTGAGCCTAATAAGTGGGACATACGGTTTACTAAATATTACTCTAACTAGTACTACCTGTACTGGTGCTCACTTGTGAAAATACAAGGTAACAGTATGGTGATAATTCCTTCTGAATAATGCATTATATTTATACAGCTTTAGAAGTATAAATAGATATACTATTTATGGACTGTCAGATAATTATTGCAGAATTTTTTAATAAATGTACATACCATCTGCTGAGACCACCCACCCTCTCCCCCACCATACGCACGAGTATGCTAACTCTCCAAAGATCAACAACCCCTCAGTGCTTGTACATACTATATGGATGGTCCCTTATCACGATGTATAAATATGCCATTCCAATCTTTAAAATGCCATTAAATCTAACTTGAGATATCTTCATTTCTTTGTTAGTTTTATTTTTCCTTCTAAAGGTGCTAGTGTTTCTTGACAGCCACATCGAGGCTGGAGAATCTTGGCTTGAACCTCTTCTTGACAGGATAGCCAAGAATAGAAAGACTGTGGTTGTGCCAGTTGTTGATACCATTGAGGCAGAGACCATGATATATCGCATGGCTGGCATCATGAGAGGAGGTTTTACTTGGTCTCTGCTTCACAACTGGGAGAAGCTGCCCCTTGATGTTTCAAAATATGTTGAAAAGAATGCTGACCCCTTTTTGTGAGTGTTTTTGCATGAATCTGTCCTGTACTATATCAAAAATTGTTTTTAAAGGATCCAAAGGAGTTCAACGGCAAAAAAACATGATCATTGCTTTTTTTAAAATTAAGTACCAAGATCAATATTATGAGGAAAATTAATTGACAGTACAAAATTTGGTTAGATAATCATAAAATTGCTGCAGGTCCCCCACAATGCCAGGTGGCCTATTTGCTATGGAGAGAAACTACTTTTATGAGCTTGGAGAGTATGATTCTGCAATGGATATATGGGGAGGAGAAAACATGGAAATTTCTTTTAGGGTAAGCTACAAATGAATTTTACCATATTCTTAAAGAATATGTGAAATTGATTTATTTCTATTAGGTATTAAGTGATATATATTTTTAAATTGAATAGGATTATTGAGCTTTTAAAGATGTATCGAAACTGCTAAATATTTAACCTTCATGTGTTCATATTTAGATTTGGCAGTGTGGTGGTAGGCTTGAGATTGTACCATGTTCCAGGGTTGGACATGTTTTTCGTCAGTTTCGTCCGTATGCATCTCCCAATGGTGAAGATACAGCCACTAAAAATGCTGCTCGTGTTGCTGAAGTGTGGCTGGATGAATATAAGGTTTGAAATATCTTCCTATTAGAAATATTGAAAATTTGATTTATATCACTAATTTTTCTTCAGCATACTGTAAATGACTTGCTAGTTATTGGGTACAGGTAACGGTGGCTTGATGTCATGACCCATTTTTAGATAGGTGAGATATTTTGTACTTTAACTTCAGAGGAGGGAAGAAATATGTTTGATATTCAGTGCAACACACTAAATGTTTGTGACCAGCAATTCTTACTTCTTTCAGAAACATTTTTTTGATCTCCGTCCTTCTGCTAAAACAATGGACTATGGAGACGTAAGTGATCGAATTGAACTGAGAAACAGATTGAATTGTAAATCTTTCAAGTGGTTTCTGGAAAATATACATCCTGAACAGGTAAAAATTATAATTATTCAAGTGCTTTTAAATAAAATATATATATTAACAAAATGTAATATTTTGTTTAAAATAGTGTTGGTTTTGTTACATTCACAGACCTGTTTACTCTTACGATTTTGGCGTACAATGTACGATTTTTAGATGTCTTTTACGATTGTACGCCGAGACCCCCCAAAACTACGGTGACCCGGTGAACAAATATTTGTGTCATTTTGTCCGATTTAAAAAAAAAATTAAAAATTTTCGGTTGTGGAAGCCCTTTTGGCCCCGCATTCAATGGACCCAGAAAAACTATGGGTTTTTGTATATATTTTTTATAGTTGGGACCATCCTTCAATATTATGTACGCACCGAAAAGGGGGGTGGCGGTTGTTGATTAAAGAGATTGGTGGCATACCAGAAACATGGGTTTTGGGGTGGGGGGGAGTTTCAAAAGATATAAAAATATCACCGCCACGCATCCTATTGATGGTGGTGATGGTCTTAGTGTTGCTTTGCGTGTCACAGTGAACCAGCTAGCTGTGTCAGCAGCAATCTTTAGGCTAGTCGCCTGGCAACAACTTCACTCACCACCTCCTTGGACTGCTACTGCTAGCAAGCGTGTGTTCGTCTGAACCGCGGGGATTGTGAAGAGAGAAAACTAGAGGTGTGAGATTTAGTCAGTGGCATTTAAAAAAATATTTTAGATCTCGCAAAGCAGCTCTATCCAGAGGCGTAGCGAGCGGGGGGCAGGAGGGGACAGATTCCCCGGGCGCCAGCTAGTTAGGTGGCATGTTTCTTTCAGAAATTTTCCCATGGGGGAGCACTTCAGATTTTCGGGGAAGGGGTACTTCAGATTTTTCGGGGGGGTGGGGGGGCAGTGCCAGCAGTTCCAGTTGATTTATTGTTGGACATATTTTTGCTCCTGGGGGCACTTGGCTTTCCCCGGGGGAGGGGCACTGCCCCCCCTCCCAGAGATATAGCTGAAAGAATCCCTGTTTAGGGGCGCCAAAATGTGCTTTGATATTATTTTATTGATGAAAATAATGGGCTTGAGAGTTGAAAAAAAGAAAAAGGGGCACTTTAAAATGGATCTTGTCCCCGGGCGCCAAACACCCTCGCTACGCCTCTGACTCTATCCCCTCAACGATTTTAATACAATAAAACAGTTTTGTATCACTACTGCTAATACTGCGCCCCCCCCTCCCCCCCCCCCCATTTTTGTTTACAGCTTGTGATAGTTACTAGTCTCTGATACTATAGCAGTGGTCGGCAAGCCGCGGCTCGTCCAGTCAACTACAAAGCGGTTTTTACTCCGAAAAACATGGTCCTTGACAGGTTCTTGAAAATAAATTTGGCTCGCAAAATTTGTTTAATGGTCCTGCTGCTGATTTGGGCTCTTTTGACCAATGAGTATGCTGACCACTGCTCTTTAGTATGTGAACGTAAAAACTCAGGGGCATATTGGATAGGCGAGGGCACTATGTTTTTCCTATTAATGAGGGTGGGGGAAGGTGGGTTCGTCACCAGCACGGAAATACGTGTTAGTGGACTAGTGTGTTGTCACTATGTCGTGTTAAATATGACTACTACAGCGACCTCTTTATGAAAACACAAAGCATTAGTATACGGTATACGATAAATGCGAAGCATTGTGGTGATATTTGTATAGCCTTAATAATAATAATAATAATAATAGACCTAATTAGAATTCGTGGGTTTCAGATTTTCATGTGACAGTTGGCTCTATAAGAGACTGTCAGGAATCAGGATAATTATTGTAGAATTTATGCCTACATGTAGGTGCATTCTGGTGCCCCCCCCAACCCAATCAAAACTCATACGCATCCTCAGCGAGTAAGTCATATTTGGATGGCCCTTTAACTTTAAGTTAGCAAGGCGTGCAGCTGGGGGCGAGCTAGGAATCATTGTTAACTTTTTCATTTTTATTTGAAATGTTATATATGGGCTGTTCAAACAGCTCTGACGCTAGAATTTGGCTGCATTGACCTATGTGCACATTGCGTGATTTTAATGTTACCATTATCATTAATGGAATCGGCAATCATTCTTGTTTTCGGTTCCGTAGTTGACCTCACTTAGTATTTTACGATATGACCTCGACAAAAAGAAAGGCTCGCGGAATGGGCGATGAAGAAGAAACTTCTCTTTCTACCGATAAACATCCGATTCAACAACAGAAAAAGAAAGTTTATCAGCAGATAGTCTTGCTTGAATATCAGACTAAATTGACTGGGTTGCGTTCTTTGTCGAATGGTCCATCATGCGCGTACTGCACAATTACACAATCTGCAAGTCGGACTTTTCATGAACAATCTATCAGGGACAAAAGGAGTGGTGTTGATTTAGGAAATTTTGGGTTTGGCGTGGGTCTAAATACTTAAATCTATACAATCAACACCGCGACATTTCCGTAATGACAGGTTGGGGGGGGGGGCTGTTCCTCGGCAGAAAGAACGTACGTTATTTAAAAAAATCTACAATATTCATCTCCTAACTCTGAAAGTCCAAAAATAGCATTCTATTTATATCTCGAATGCTGTAAAATACCACCCGATGTTTTGTAGGAATTATTGCGGTGATGTTGTCAAGATGTATTTTCACCAATAAACTCGTTAGCAGTAGTAGAGAAGTTACAGTTGTGTTTAGTCATGAGTGTTCAGCGCGCGTGTGACGCATATTTCGTTGGGCTACGCCAGTGGTTCTTATAATTTTGTTTCCCGGCGCATATGTCATATTAGGTTTTCGCCAGGGTTTCCTGGATGAAATTCTTACAAGTACACTTCGAAATAGGGAATACACAAATAAAATAAAGGGTGGGATAAAAATAAATATATCGTTTATGGAGGTAACAAACATGGAGGTATCTACAGCAGATGCAGGTCTTCAAAATGAAGTGACCGCAGTTTGCAGTTAACGTCAGTCGAATACTGATTACCTTACAGTTCCATTTTTTAACAAACCGCTGAACTGGATGCCACTGAACACGCTATACCAGTAGATGCTGTATACATTATATATTATATATACTGTATATTTATGTATTTACTATTAAGATACTGTATTGTACGATTTTGAGACGATATTGTACGATTTTAGGAGTTTGAGGGTAAACAGGTCTGCATTCATTCATTAAGTGCTCCTGTGAGAATGGCCAAGGGACATCACTTTTGTTTATCGGCTGCTTCTGTGGGAGTTGGATGCATTGTCACATTTCTATTCATTTTGCATATAAATATCCACATTCCGAATGCCTGAAAATGCCTTGCTGATCCTAGAGTGTTTTCCTGGAGTCAACTTTATGGTCTATGGCACTGCCAGTTTCAGCTAGTGCTTAAGGTTGAAAGGAAAATTAATTTCCACATTTCACTATATAAACAAAATTCCTCAAAAGAATGAGCATGAAATTAACCAATTTAAAAAATAGGTTTCTGAACTTGCAATTTTATGATTACCATATAACCAGGTTTATTTTAAATAATTAAACTGTACTTGCATTTAAAAGCAATTCTAAAAAGTCATTTGAAATTTTCATTTTTCATTATTAGCTTGTGCCTGGAGAAAAAGCTAAGGTTCCTGGAGCCTTCCACCAACCTAAAGAGCTTAAGAAAGACATAGTTGTTGCTCAAGGAAAGGTTGGTGTATAAAGTGATAAAGTAAAAAATATTTTCCTGTTTTTGTCTTAGCTGAGTTGGTAATATTTCCTAGTATAAATTCTTTTCTGACATCCAGTAACAAACAAAAAAGTAATGATCTTAAGCAGGGGGGGGGGGGCTGAAAGACCTCTGTTTTCTTGTTCATTTGGTCGTATTGTTTCAGTCATTTAAACAAAAATAATTACCTTCTCTTATCCTTTTCTCCAAGCTTGTGCATTTATCTTCCAAACTTTGTGTAAGGGCCTTGTCAGAGCCACCTGCAAAGGAAGATCCTTTAGTCTTAAGTTATTGTGATAGTAGTAAAGGAAAATCTTTGGTAAGTATGTAATGCAGAAAGACATAATGTTGTATGTATCAGATTTATAATTAAAGAAAAACTAAAAGTACTATTTTCAGCCATAGTGAGCTATAGTTTAATTGTGCATATTTCAAACAACAGCTTCTAAAATTGCAAACCATTTCAATTTTCTCTATTTTAAAGATAATTTTTTTATATTTAGTTTATAGCTTAACCCTTACGGTACTGACCTACTTTTTGCTTTTATTGTCTCAGTACCGGCCATTAATTGGCTAAGTATTCCCTGTGGCCCAGACATTATTTTGGAATGAGTCAAAATTTGATAGGATGTTAATTTATTTTTTCAAGCAATTGATAATAACATGTAGAGAATTATCTGTTCAGAAATGGATAAGGATGTTAAAAAAACTCTTCTAATCCCAATTAAATTTCAATAATATTTTCAGAATAAAAGGTTTCATCAAGTGGGCGTAAGTCGCCATCAACAATAGCGATTAAGTAGCGCCATGGAAACAACAAATACAGATCCGTTAAAAAAAACTCAGTAATTTGTCAATTTTCATAATTTAAAAGGCAAATTAAAATTCGACTATTCCCCTAACGAATAAACATTCTGCCCGAGACTGTGATGAAAGGTTATATCCTCATTTCTGTGTTATATTTGATATCCCTTTAAGTCATCATGAACAATAGTCAATAGCGCTGGTAGCGCCACACTTGGGCCACAGGGAAAACGATCGGCTGGTGAAAAAAGAGGCGCTTGGGTCACAGGAAAAAATTAGGTCACTGCAAAAAGACGTGCCGGGTACTGTAAGGGTTAAACAAAGCACTAATTAAACTTTCATATTTTTTAGCGGCTGTTAATTTTAAGTAGAATAAATGTGTCAAACTTAATGTTGAATCCCAGCCAATGAAATATTTGCTGATATGGTGAACAGCTATTGCCATACAAGTTTCCTATTTCAATCCAATCTATGGTTAGAAACATTTGACTTAATCCCATAGCCCAGAGCCAGTTGCAACCTTATATTCAACAGGATTTCACGGTCACAGAAGACCATCAAATAAAACTGAAAGATACTAGGTCATGTCTGGACACAAAGGAGACAAAGAGAGATTCAACTATCGTTTTTTTTATGAAATGCCATGCCGGTGGTGGAACACAAACATGGCTACAAAAACACAATAAAGTAAGATATGATGAAATGTAACCTTTAAATGATAGTATTGCTTAAAATTTAAACAAATTTGTAATTTAAAATACTATTTTAAACTTTTGTTTGCTATCGAAATGGTTGATGCATGCATGCAATCTACCATATTTTAGTAAATAGTTTCAAATTATATTTCATTCCATATATTTTGCTATTTGTTCTTTTCTTATTTTGTTTTTAATGAATATATTAAATAGTTCATAAAAATGTAAATATGAAATTAATTTTAATTATTCTTTATCTCTTCCATTATTTCAGGACTCATTCATGTTGTTTAATCCAGCTAGTGGCAAATGTTTATCTGCACCTAAAGGAGAAAAGTCTCAAAAACTTGTAATGGACATTTGTTCAAAAGGAACGGAACAAGATTTTAAAATCAACAGTTTGAAGAGATAAGGGAAATATTTATTTAACAAATTGTGCTTTTTTAATCATCAGAGTTTAGAACTTTTTGGGGTCTTTATATGTACTAATTTATACATCTTGATATGAACTTGATAAATGGATATTACAGCATTAATTTAAATCATTTTCAATAGCATTCCGTTTATTAAAGAGATCAGACTGAAATGATAACTAAAATAAGACATATGCAAACTAAGAAATCAAACAAATTTGTGTATATGTTATTTTAGTTATCTACTTGTTTTAAAGTCAAGCTTTAACACATTATTAATTTTATTGAGCAAATCATGTTACACATAAAAAATTCACCATTATGAGTTTCAAAATGTTATTAAAATTGTCTTCCATATTAATGTATAATAAATACAATATCAGTATTTTTTTAATAATTGTAATGTTTCCTAGGTCATTAAAGAAAAACTTGTGTTGTTTCCTCATCCACAATCATGTTATTAGGAAAATACAAGAGATAGTATTCAAGTTGAAAGTACTTACACTTTTTTGTATAACTCTTGATGTCATTTTTTTTTTCAATATTTTAATTTTTATTTTATATAAAGAAATCAAAATTGTAAGTCTAAGATTTAATTATTTTCTGGTTGATTAAAATATTGCTTTTTTTTCACCAGTATGTCCTGCGCATGTAAAAAGAATGTTTTATCTTATAATTATTGTCAAAATTTATTTTAATAATAGATGTTTAAATTTGAAACTGTTTTTGTTCTAACATTTGTTAAAAACAAACTGTTTTTGTTCTAACATTTGTTAAAAACCATGTTAAAATGGGCATTCGTGCATTTTCAGATAAACTTGGTCTAGAAATATTTTAACTAACCACCCTTGACATTTGCACAATCATTTTTTTTTTACAATGAAATTTTATAAGCCAGCAAGCAATTATATTTTATCAAGTCAAGCTGCATTTCGAATGTTAGTATGATGTGATTCAATCATAAAGTCAATACAATTTGAATCAAGATTACTCTATTACAAACTTTTCCTCTTTTTTTTCCCTCTCTGAGCAACTTCAAGTTCTCCTGACAAACTATTTACGAAATACAGTATAACATTACCATAGATATGAGGCACAAGCAACCCTCTAGTGCCTTTATTTTTCACATTTTATTAGTAATTATAAATCGTTAATTTCTTAAAATTAACTCTAAAAAAATTTTCTACAAAATTAATTAAAACCTCCAACTGTATTAGGTCCTATATATATATATATCTGGTCCTGATGTTAAAATAAGTTATGTTGTTGAATGTTATATTTGTATTACTTCTACTTCTTCTAGTCAATTACTTAGATTCTCACTAAAATGTGTTTACACTTACACTGAATATTTAATATATATACATGTTTATATATATATTTATATACAATAAATTAAAATATGAATTTTCTGAAACATATCTGTTATGTTCTCATTTATAAACAGCTTTGTATTTTCACCTAAATTAAATGTAAAATACTTCCAGTTTTAAATGAACCATAAAAACAAGTCACTCATTAATAACCATTTTCTACAGCTCAAAATTTGTACATTAAAATGATTAATGCACCGTGTCACTTATTAATATTTGTTAAAAAGTTATTCATATTCCTGAGTCAATTTTGAGATTCACCACCTCCACTTACTTTGACTCAAAGCCATCAAGCAGAAGCTTAATTAAATTGATGTTGGGGTATTTACGAAATTAAAAGCTTTAATGTGCAGAAGCGGTGATAATGGGATTTGGCAGTTATTGTGAGACTCAGCTTTGATGACGATTTGCGTAACATTATCAATTCTTAAACTTTGCTGTTTGATGGAGTATGCCTATTACTGACTGAATCGTACATCAAGAAATGTTTTTGCGAGAGTTGTTGGTTGCCATGGCATCATCGTGTGTATATTTCCTTAAAGTCGTTCTCTCTTACTGCCACATTTTCCGGGGCATCATCATTAGCTACAATGAAAATAGTAAAAGTGAAACGAAAATCTATGCATTGCATCTGTACATTCTTACATCATGCTGAGGACAAGATTCGTACCCAGGGACACGATTCATTTTAAAGTGCCCCCTTTTCTCTTTCGAACTCTCAAACCCATTATTTTCATCAATAAAATAATATCAAAGCACATTTTGGCGCCCCTAACTAGCTGGTGCCCTGGGACATCTGCCCCCTCCCCCCCCCTCCTAATTTCGATACGCCTCTGAGTTAAGATTTCCTAAAATGATTTTGAAGCAAAGAACTCATTCGTAGTAATCGTGTCAAAGAATGACTGCAAAACATATCATGATTTTTTTTAACACGCTTCAGTGGATTTAAAAGGTCTACAACAGCGGTTCTCAACCCCTGCGTCGACTAAGACTGTCGGAAAACACATATTTATGAAGTAGAAACAAAGAAAATTGTATGGTTGGGGGTCACCACAACACGAGGAATTGTATTAAAGCGTCGCAGCATTAGGAAGGCTGAGAACCAATCTAGTCTTCAAAATAATTTTCATGAAAATGTAGAAGTAGTGGTCACTTAATCATTTACACTCACAGTTAGTCACTGTGAATATTCTACTGTTTATTTTGATAGACATCAGAAACAAAAGAAGCAATTGGCTAATGAGGTAATGAGAGATGCTAAGAATCTCAGAAGAAAATAGTCATTAAGGCAACTCTCTACTACTGTCTTCACAACAAACACAAATGTATGACAGATGCGCTCCTTTGCAGATCATGAAAGGTCTTTGGTTAAAATCTTGATATTAGATACCTTGTTAAGTTGCTGACAACAAATATTGCAAGTAGTCACAAAGCTACTCAGACAATGAGTTATGGTGACATTTCTAAAGCTAAATACAGTCAATAGGTCTTTGAGTAGGTGTAAGCTAAGGGGGCGTCCATTAATTACGTAAATAAATTTTAAGCAACTTTTTACCCTCCCCGGGCTCCCCCTTGTCAACCACTGTCAAACTTTCAATGACCCCCCCCCCGCCCCAAGTAAATATGTCAACATTTTTATAACCCCACCCCAACAAATAATAATAATGAATTGTTGTAATATAAATAAATATATGATATTTAATGACATAAAATTGTAGGAAAATTTTAAACAACTTTTTCCCCCCCCCCGGCCCCCCCCTGTCAACCACTTTCCAACCTTCCATGACCCCCCCCCCCCGCCCCAAGTAAATATGTCAACATTTTTATAACCCCACCCCAACAAATAATAATAATGAATTGTTGTAATATAAATAAATATATGATATTTAATGACATAAAATTGTAGGAAAAACATTTCATTGCATCTTTAGCTTGTTAATCAACAAGTTAAAAAGTTTTTACACATACATTTTATAATGCGGAATCAATCAAAAGGTTGTTAAAGACTGAATATCATTGTGGAAGTATGAATATGATTATTGTCAGAATGACTGACAATTTTAGCATAGTTTCTAGCTGCTATCATCTTCCCAGTGAGTAGCCAGGTGTTGCTCTATCGTAGCAATGGGCATATTAGCTTATTTATCATTTTCATATTGCGGAATTGATATATCAGACAAGTCAACATCATTCTCATCTAACCATTCAGCACGTAAAATAGAAGCATTATCAGTGTGAGCAGTAACTGCCATAAGCTCGCTCTGTCTCCTGGAACCTACTTGCTTTAGTCGAATCCTTTTTTGTTGAGACTGAGAAGCGTAATTTCTTATGCATTGTTAGAGCTGTTGAACATGCTATTTCAACATGACTTGTGGTGCAAAATAGATGCGAATCCGTTCAAGCAGAGATGTTATTTTTGTTACTCACTTTACTTTCCCCTAATTCTCAAAATATATTTTCCTACTCTATCAATATCATTTATCGGGCGCCTTTGCCATAGGGGCGCCTGGGGCGCACAGTCATTATTTAAATTCCCTTAGTTAATTATAGTGAAGTATAAAGCCTCGGGTCTGGGGTCGAGAAACGGTGTTCTAGCTTTGTGTACAATACATTTTCACACGATGAGTTTTGATTCAATGAAAGTTACATTCTTAATTTGGATGTTAAGCAGTGGTGGTTAGAATCAACCGAAAGTGCGTGGAAATTAATTTATTAATACCGTATTTTATTGTCCCTCTTACCATTATTTCAGCAGAAAGAATATGGGGAACAAAAAGATTTCCGGGGGGTAAAATCGCAAGCGCAAAGCAGAAAAAGTACGTCATAATCGGAAAAAGAGCGGAGCCATACAGGGAAGGGGACGCCGAACGGCTGCTTCGCACAGGGCGAACGTTTACTTAAGGCTTAACTTTGGCGCCCCTGGTATACTCATTAAAGGAAAAAAAAATAGTTATGAACAGTCATTGTTTTTTGTTTTTTTTTAAACATAGGTAATAAACTCATTACCGAATAACTAGTTTTTTTTCCTTTAATGATTATAAAAGGGCGCCAATGTTAAGCCCTCACTTGGCGCCAGCAACCGTTGGGCCGGCCCTGATGGACTACCCCTAAGACAGATTAATTTGTATATGACAGGGATTGACAGCTTGGATATAGTGATCTTGCTTTTTGGAATAAAGATCGTGGAAAAAAGGGGGTGGGTGGGGTGGAGATGCTGTCCTTAAAAACATCAATGACCAATTGATTCTCTTCAGAGAAACCAAGATATTTCAAGTTTGAATCATTCAATGAATGCATAATGTAATGTGTGTTGCATGAATAGTATGATGATAATGTATTTGAATATGCTTACTAGTGTTTCACTGTTGTATTCATACGTTTTGAAGTAGGCTGATTGCTAATACTAATAATGTTATGTAAAAATTAAGAATTACTTAATCCAACTGCTCCACGATTTCTATTATTATTATTATTAAACATCTTAACTATAATAAAAATATATTTAAGCTTTTATAAGAAAATGTTTAAGTCATTTAAAAAAATAATAAGTCGGTTCCATGTTATGATCGTAGATAACTACGTTAAACTATTTCAGTTGTCATTGTAATATTTTCACCGCTCCTTCACCGGAAATTTATGCTTTTTGGATGGGCACGGTCGTCAAGGTGTAAAAATGTCTGACCAACCCAAACATGGTCCTCCACACGGGATGGAAAAACATGATTTAGGAGGCAATAATGACCTCGGCGCTCTTAGTCAGGCTCAACAAGCGGATCTAAACCAATTTAAAGTATGGAATTATTGTGTGTTTAGTGAATTGGGGAACCTCTAATGTACTATTTAATTTAAGGAGTAAAAATTACTAAAAATGTATGTGAAAGTATTAAGTATTGATTGAGGACTCCCCCCCACTTTTTTTTTTCCTCGGCTCTGCTCTGGAAATGTTCAATACGCTTAAAAGGTCGAGATTTCTCTCTTAGGACCTTGGCCATGGAACATGGCCCAGTAGTCCCTGGGGACTCCGGCCATGTAACATGGTCTCGAGTATGGGTGTTTGGGCAGTTTGCTTCCACTCATACTCATTGGGGAGGTGGTTTTGCTTGGCTACCCCCCCCCCCCTCTTGCCCATTGAGTCATTCTGTCTGGACGTTGGTTTGGAATGGCTTTGCTTCCTCTCGGGGATGGTGTTGCATTACCTCACCCCACCGTCCAGGGAACCGTACGGCTCTGCTCTCATCTTGTCTATTTCTAATAATTCTAAGTATTAATACTTATTAACTGTAAAAACTTTCTAGGAAGTCTAGCTATATCTACTTAAAAAACATTTTGGGAGCTTCAAATTTCAAAAGTGAAGTCGAGTTAAAATAAAAAAGGCACTACTCAAAACAGCAGACCAAAATTAAAATTAGAATAAGAAAGTGTCCGGCTACCAGCCTAATGTGCAAACCCCCCCCCCTCCTATAATTGGTGAAATAATTTTTTTACTTCAATTTTTTTTTCAGACTAATTATTGCTTGTAATAATATTTAAAATAATATATAATAAACAATATCATAGCAGGCAGGTCACAAGCACCTGTTCATATTGCCAGGAAACATTCTGCAAACTTATGACGCAGAGCCGAAGGCACTGTAAGTGTATGACAGCATGCTTTGGTTAGTGTGGCAGTGTTGTTTGCTGAGCACCATCTAATATGAAACAGTAATTCAACAGAGATAACTTTTGTTTCTCTCTTGCATTTTTTTTTTCTTTTCAGGAGATGATGGTGATGAAAAGGCTGTTAGCCAGACACTTTCTAATGAAAAATATTATATTTAACATTTGGGACCACCGTTCTGATGAGTGCCGTTTAAATTAGTACTTTGACATAAATTTTTTATTTTGTCTGATGACTGCCATAAAAGATACATAATTTTAAAGGGATAGTTATAATAAGCTTTATAAAAACATCAATTTCATATTTTTATCTTTTACAGAGGTGAAGTAGTCATAGTTATGTTGTTGTTTTTTTAATTTTTAAAGCCCCTGTCCTTATTTATCTTTGTATTTAACTATGAAAACGTGTGACCGACTTCCAAAATTTCTACCTTATTTGCCCACAACTTTTTATTTTAAAAGTTAATGTTAACAAGTTTTTAGAAGACATTCTCAATGCAGAATACAACACAATGAACAACTAAACTTTTAGATAACATTAAGACTTTTTATTTTTGATAATTTTATTTGAGGGTAATTAAAAAAAATCCTGAAATGATAAATTGGAAAATTATTAATTGATAGTACTTATAGAGACAAAAACAAAAACGAACACATTGTATTTTCATTAAATTTAAATGTGCTTCAATTAAATTTTAAATCAATGCTTATATTTATAAAAGATTGGCAGAAGTATTTTAAAAAAATATAATTGAATGCATGAAATTATTTTAAAAATTATCTCAGTAATATGTCATAGAGTGACACAATTTCCACAAAAATATATAAATTTAAGTTAATGTATCAGCATGCTTAGCCTACTGCATTGGAATAATAATTAATTGAAGTATTAATAGTAATAGCAATGGTTTTTATTGTGTTATTATTCACTAGGCTAAGAACAAGAAAATGTAGTTAACATCAAAATTTTAACTGAAAATAAAATTTTTGAAGAATTATCTCAATTATAGCAATTAATTAAAATTGTTGAGATGGGCATAATATTGAAGCAATAATTATTTTTTTTATTGTTAAAACATATTTAATAGAATAAATATTTCTCATTTCACAAAATGAACTGATTTTGTAGACAGTAACTGATGTTAGACTTGATTTTTTAGATGAAAACAAGAATTGGCAATGAGAAATACCTACGTGAACATCCAGAGGTTGAGTGCCTGATTGCCGGATTTTTGGGGTAAGCACTAGACAAGTTTGCATTTGATAATTTGTTTCCAGAATTGTCATTTTCATTAGATGGTATGCATAGTAGATGTAAGATCTAGAAAATCAAATGTGGATTTATATCTCACAGTTGACTTAGTAAAGCTCACAGTACAAATAAACATTTTATTTTAAAAATATCACAGCTCAATAATATAAGCAAATTTATTGTGAATTGGATTCTTGGGTGCATCCTTTCCTTTTCCTTGACAACACATCTGGTACGGAATGCAAATTTTATTTAATGACCTTATGTTTGTTTAGATTTTAGAAGATTAGAATTCATATTATTTTAGTTGTTATGTCTCAAACATTAGCTCACTATTTATGGCTTGTGTATTTTAAATATTTTCCCTTTAACTACATGTTCTGACAGAAATTAATAAGTTTTAAAATATTCTTTAAACAATATTTGCTAACAGTATTTTGTTTAGTATCTTAATATTAATTTAATTTAATATCATATTTTACAAGTGATGTTCTAACAAAACGGCCAGAAAGTATAAGAGAATTTGCTGCAGGTAAGCAAGCTTTAAATCAAAAGGTCTTTTTTAATTATTCTTTTATTCATCATGTTAAATTTTTGTAAATGAAATGGACCACTACCTTAACAGATGTGTAACAGCATAATCTGACCGCCTGACATGCATAGCTTTAAAAAATTAAACACCTAAACACGCTGCTAGTAAAATGAAGGTTTTTCAGGATGCAAGATTCAATGAGCCTACTGAATGCTTTTTTAAAAATAAAGTAATTTAAAAAAATGCTTTTTTGTGTTCTTTATTGTAACATAATTATTACAAATACATTTTTAAAAAGTAATAAATGTCTTTAATCTGAACTGATGGCATATTTAAAATTGTGCTTACTAAGTATTTGCTTGAAATTAACCAGTTTAGAATTTGAATGCAAACAATTACTGTTATTCAAATTTATCAGTAAAGAACACGAGAATATGCCATGTATTTTATTTTCCACTTCTCATTTCAGAATATTTTACAAACCCAACCCTCCCAGAAAAAGTAGAGAAGCAGCTCACTGAACGCCAAGAGAAACTGAAGCAAAACAGGGTTATTCAGAGTCTTACATAGGAGACATTTCTTCAGTTAAAAATACGTAATCATCCCTTGTCATATCCACAAATTTTACATGGAATCCAGACAAATGTAGTGAAACGATCTTGTTAACAAATATATCTGAATATTTTGTTTATTGCAAGAACATTATTTGCTACCCAATTCAAGTCTCTATATCAATTGATGAAAGCAAAAGGCAAGAACAAAAAATGTATTTGGAAAGAAGTAGAATATATTCATATCATTCTCAAGGACAACAAATAATATGGGCAAACTGACAAAAAGCCAGCAAATGTATCAGACAAAAATATTTTTGACAAATTCTAAGCCTTTGCCCTCTCCACTAAAATTTCCTTGAATCCTATATCCACTGTGCAAGATCATGGCTATAGTTTGTTTTTAATTTTTGTGAATAGAGGGAGATCTTTATAACAAGGACAACACAACATATTTAAATCATTTGAGCATTTTTGGCCAATGTTGGCAGTTTTTTAGGTAGTTTAATTTCTCGCCCGAAGTCATTTCGTTTGTGCAGTGTAAGATACAAATTTATTTATTACAAGAATCTCATTTCCGTAAGCGCTCTTAGCAAGCCAAAAGATTTAAAATCTTTTAAGATTCAAAAGATTTTATAAATTATTAAAATTAAGTGAGGACCGTTATGTGGGTTGTTCATAATTTTTATCAGAAGTATTTTGAAATGTACATAATTGAAACTGTTGTGTGTTAGGTGATTCTTTTAATGACCATCAACTCCTGAATTGCTTGGTTTAATTCTCATTTTTGTTTGTTTAAATACCAATGGCAAATTTTATTCTCAGACATTTTATTTTGTAAAAATCATATAAACTTCATTGTCATTTACTGAAGTCATGTGACATTTGTATTTTCATCCTTATATCCTAAATGTCAAACTGTGCAATGTTGAAACCCCTTTAAGAGGTTGTGTTTTTTTTAGCTGATTGTCTAGGAGACATGTTACCGTCCTGCTACCTGTGAAGCCTACTGTTATAGAAACTTCTTATGTACACATTATTTTTTGTTTTTTTTTAGATCTCATTAAATATTGAAAAAGAAATTCTTTTTGTTATCGGTTTGATCAAGTTAATTTATTTAAACATAGTGAACAAATCATCCGGCTGAATGAGATGAACATGGTAATGGAAATAGAGTCTGTTTTACATACAGCTATTTCAAAATGAAACATTGAGGATGAAAAGATGCCATAAAGTCAAAGAAAAGTTTAATCCATTTTTCCTCATTAACATTTATGGCATTCATAAAATACATCAAATGAATATACATAATGAATATAAATGTTGTTGTTATTTTTTAAACAACACGTTGAGGCACTAAATGTTTACTTTTTAAAGTGCAAATTTTTACCCATTTTATGTGTGATATTAAATTATATACATTCATGAAATCTTATCATGATCACTTCAGTATTCAACTATGATAATTAATAATGATAACATTTTACTATGATAAGTTATACTATCAACAGTTTACTAATGATAATCCATTTTAACAACAGTTTACTATGATAGAGGCATCATAAGGCACCTGCATAGTCATTCAGAACTGGCAAACATTCAGATAAAAGCGATTACAACCATTAAATATTGAAGTAATATGTTCAACATAATGAGATGATGTACATCTTAAAGATAAGAATATTATCTTGATTCAAGATTGTTGTTTATTTATTGTTTATTTCATCTGAAAAGTTGTATAATTAATCTGTCAAAACTGGGGTTGGCATTTTATAAATGAAATGTCACATTGAGAAATGCCCTCCCTAAATCAACCCCTCTAAGCCCAGTATCTGGCCGCGAAGCGGCACTTTGGAGATGCCTCTTTGCCAGGACAGCCCCAACCCGAGTCCGCTCGATCGGGTTCCGCTGGGGGCCGCCCCAACCCGAAGACACCCAGTCGGTCTGATGCTGTTTTACACGATCGACTTTCTCAGGAGTCGGGATGGTAAACTTAGATCCTACTATCTTCCCCCATCCACCCACCCCGGGGAAGCATTGCACGCCCTTTAAGAGGGTTTCTACAGTGGGTTTCCACGACGCGACTTATTTGCGAAGTAGCTTTTATAAATGGCACTTTTATTAATTATTATTATTAGTGGTGGTTATATATAGCTCACCACGCTGTACGTACAATTTAACAAACATAATCATGATCTTAAAACTTAACATACATTAATTAATTGACAGCTGAAGACTTCAAAGGTCTCCATAGGATGAGAAACACCTGAAGACATTTGAAAACAGGTGATTCACGTATGCCTCCTTACATTTTCATACTTCTGAGAATTTGAATACATTTTATATAAGGAATAGTCTATGAGATTTTTAGCGCCAGACTTTGGTGTCGAAATCGTATTATATATTCGTGTAGGTTGTTTTCTTCCCACATGAAAATGTAAACCTGAAGCCATCCTGAAATGAGAGTCCACACAATTATACTATAATACTGTTAATCAATATTTTTATGATGAGCTGAAGGGATATATACCAGGGTGAGGTTTCCAAAAGTGAACAAGTAGTTTTATTGAAACATGATCTGATCCTAATTAATCACTAAAGCCTGGTTAGTGACTAAGAATTTTGTAAGAAATAATGGGTTGCTCTAAGTCATCATTATTAATCAGTAAAGACTTAACTGACCTTAATTAATCCTGGTAACTGTGACCACAGACTGTAGTGGGGGATCTTTTCATGACCACCAGCTTTTCTTACAGTCACTTGGAACACAGTTCCTAGTGCAAAGTAGACTATTAACAGAACAAAGAATCTGAAATGGAAAATAAACAAAATATATACTGTATCTAAAAATATGTGCAGCTGATTTATGTCTTTCAACAATGAGCAACAATCATATCTAGGTGTTTTAGAAAGATCTTGAAATTAGAAAAAAATAACTAAAATTTGTAGATGATTTACAAAAGAGAAGATGGCAGTTGGAAATATTGATGACCTAGTCAGTGGCACCTCATAATTTTTTTTAGTTCGGTAATAGGAATGCTAAAATGACAACAAGGGATACAATTCTACATAAAGTAATGCTACATACAGTAATGCTACATACAGTAAAAGACTCAAAGTTTGACCAACTAGACAAAAATGGTAAACAAATTTACTTTGAAAATTCACCAGACAAAGAAATTATAAAACAAATCTAATTTGACTTATTTTTTCTCACCTAAATTCTCAACAGCAATTATATCAAACCAAAGTCAAGCTTATAGACTTACATGATGACCATTACTGAGCCAACAGATAAAACACCATCTCCACCACCATCATCTTTATGTCCGGGACAGCACCAACCAGACTTTAGAGTGAAATGCTGTGGCATCGACATGATCAAATGTTTATAAAGAGACATGAATTCGTTGGAAACTAAATCTAACTTTGAAAAATCAACCATTATAAAACTACGCCAGTTTTGTCCCATTTAAAAAAAAAATTAATAACATAGAAAATTATTTTGAACAAATATGAGCTTAAATGAAAAATAAGGTGTCAAAATTAAGACGAGTGACATGATTAATATGATCAAAACATGCTGGCAGATTCTTTGGTAGATCTAGACTGTGTAGTGGTGGCCGGCTCCCTTGCAACTTCTCCAACTCCAAAATCTTCTTTACAATTTCCAAAGTCTTTTTTTTTCCACGTTCATATGTTGTGCATCTTCCTAGTTGTTAATATGTGTGCATCTTCCTAGTTGTTATAAGTGTGCATCTTCTTAGTTGTTATAAGTGTGCATCTTCCTAGTTGTATAAGTGTGCATCTTCCTAGTTGTTATAAGTGTGCATCTTCCTAGTTGTTATAAGTGTGCATCTTCCTAGTTGTTATAAGTGTGCATCTTCCTAGTTGTTATAAGTGTGCATCTTCCTAGTTGTTATAAGTGTGCATCTTTTTAGTTGTTAATATGTGTGCAGCTCCTCATTTTTTTATATGTGTTCATCTTCCTAGTTGTCAACGTGAGTTCGCCCCTCTATTTCACCAGCTATTGCCTAAGATGAAAAAATGTCTTTTTGGGGGCAGCTTTCCAAAGCTACTGACATTCTTACTTACATAATTTGTTAGCGGTTCTTCCTTATCAAAAAGAAAAGATGTCTCTCCTGAACAGATGCAGGTTATATAACTGCTTCTGAAATGAAATTCGAAGGATATCTGTTATCTCTATGTAAACGTCATTCTTACAGTATGACATGCGTGTATAATATTGCACTTGAATAGACAATCTTGAAAAGGTGCAAAATAAATGGATGCCATTTATATCAGCTAGAAAGCTAAACTAAAACACATATTGAACTAACCTCAGCGCCATCCTAGGACTATAAAAGTTAAAAGTGATGTTAAATCCTTTTTTTTTTTTTTTTTTTTTTTTTTTTTTTTTTTTTTTTTTTTTTTTTTTTTTTTTTTTTTTTAAATTTTTTTTTTTTTTTTTTTTATTTTTTATTTTTTTTTTTTTTTTTTTTTTTTTTTTTTTTTTTTTTTTTTTTTTTTTTTTTTTTTTTTTGTTGTTATTGTTGTTGCAAACCGGTTTTTGGTTTTAGAAACCGGTTTCAAACCAGATTTTGGCGTCTTTCACATTCAGGGCTCGAGTCCTGCAGGAACGCACAGGAACGGCGATCCCGTACTTTTTAAACAGAAATAAATATCCTACATATTTTGTATCAGGGAGGGGGGGGGTTACTTGGGTGAGTTCCCACACCTTTCCGCTGAGGACTCGACCACATCTGCAATGCATTGTAAACCTTTCCTCACAGCCATGTCAGATTGACCAGATATTTGATACAACAATACCATCCACAGGTGTAGGGCAAAGGGGATGGAGAAGGCTGTTGGTTTTGGTTGGCTTAGAACCTTGGCACATTGACGCGTTGCCGATGACAACACATTCTATCGAATTTCCATCCACCGGTGTAGGGCAAAGGGGATGGAGAAGGCTGTTGGCTCCGGTTGGCTTCCCCCCCCCCACCACTCACGCCCGACCCCAGGTTCCCAACCGCACAATTTTTTCACGCCCCTGAACTATATTAATATTTAATAATATTCTAAATGCCCCCCCCCCCAAACCCCTTTTATACCGCAGATTTATAACAACATATTTCAATTTCTGTAAAACCAAAAGTCAAAATGACGCACCAAACGCACTTGTGGTATCTTTAAGAATCTCATTTAGCGCGGTTATCGTGTTCTTTTCAGTAGTGAAATCAGCGTCACCTGCTAGCATTAATGAAATGGTTACATAATATATTATCCGTAATGTATTTTGATTTATTTTTTTCTTGTTGTTTTAAAAAAAAAAATCCATACTTTTTAAATCATTAAAAAAAAAAATAGGTGAAAATCAACAATTTTCGGTATCAAATCGGTTTTTGTTTAAAATGATTAGTAAATAGCTCAATCACCTATTGAACTTACCACATACCATCTTAAGCCATCATGGTAAATAGATCAAAAACCTATTGAACTTGCCTCATACAATCTTGATCCATCAAGGTAAATAGATAAAAAACCTATGGAACTTACCTCATACAATCTTGAGCCACCAAGCTAAGTAGAACTCACCTCATACCATCTTGTGCCATCAATGTAAACATTGGTTGACCCTGGGAATCAACTTGACTGCCAGCATTGGCGTGAACTCCTATGTCATAATATAACGTGGGTACTTGGACTTGGATAGCCTGCAGGTAGGACTGATCTAGTTGTTAATTTCTATACATTTAATGCATAATTCATTCGTTATTCTGATACACAGAGAATAAATAATCAAATATTAATTTTGTTTTAAAAAAAAAATTATACAATTGGTTATCATCAATATTAATTTTATTAACCCAAAATATAAAAATATAAATTTAAGATTAGTAATGATTAAATATTAATATAGATCTAATAATTAGATTGGAGTAAACGTAATATTTTATGGCTAAATTAAAAAGAAATTAATGATAATGCATCAAGTGATCAAAGTTCCTGAAAGTCTGTGATGTTTCTTTAACCCAGCATGGCTAATTGTTTCATCAGTAATAATTTTTCCTTACCCCAGCAGTAATTGTTCCTAGTGTGAAATCCTTACAAGGGTCCCAGTAGAACTTTTCATTTTTCGACTGAAAATCTGCCGAATATCTGTGGTTAGAAATTATTTTATTGATATACTATTTTTAAAACAATTTTAAAAGTTTAAAACAAAAGTGAACAAATTGGAATTAATTAATGGATTGCATTTCCTTACCATTTAGGAATATAAAATGTTTTTGATGGAAATGTGCGGAGGGCGTAGAAGAGCGAATAATGTCGGGCGCAGGGGAATGGGATGCAGTTAACGACTGAGACAAAGAAGAGAACTGCTCATATGAATGAACGTTAGAAAATTAAACAATTCAGCACGACTTACGGTTCAGACGTTGAAAGTGGTTTGAGATTGATCTCCCCTGCTTCGGTCATGCACCCGCACGCTGCAGCGTTGTATTCACATTTCTGCACAGCATGACACGGGCGCAGCAACACGAACACACACAAAATAACCAACAAGAAATGTGAAAACTCTGGACTGGACATTCTCTCACTTAAGACTAAGACCCTTCAGATTAAAATAGAAAACTTGTCTGCAGATAAGGACGGTAACAATCAACTGTAAATGTTGCCGTGTGTTTTGTTTGTTTCTGTTCTTTTTCTATTTCAGGTCAAGAGTATCGGTTTTCAGTCCTTGCCAAACGACCGCGTTCACCATAGTGTTACATAATAATGAAAATACATCATAGGCTGCATTCAGATACCACATTACGGACATCACGAGTTGAATAAGCAACTGACTTTGACATAGGCCTGATTGTTATCTAACTTTCCACGATAAGGGCGCATTTCTTTTTTTAGGCGAATGCAAACCTTTGTCATGTGATTTCTTACAGTTCACGTATCAAATATACGGGAAGAACTTGACAACGACGTCACGTTTTATCTGATATCCACAAGTCCTGATAATCGGTGTCTACGTCTGATAAAGTGGATAACTGCCTAGGTTTATCTATAAGTTTCCATTCCAACAAATATCCGATCCAAACATTACTTAACAAATTTATTTCCAGCAAAATTCCTTCGAACAAATGACCTTAGAACTTTTTTTTAAAGGACACGTGGTGGAACCAGAAGAAGTGGACCCCCTTGTCGATACCGAAAGAAATAAGTGGACCACTTGGCGGCACCAAGACAGAATAAGTGGACCACTTGGCGGCACCAAGACAGAATAAGTGGACCATATGGAGACACCAAGACAGAATAAGTGGACCACTTGGCACCAAAATATAAATATGGTGTTCATATTCACAATAATTTTAAATTTTAAAAAAAAATTTGGCTGGCCCCCGGGAGGAGGGGGGGGGGTTAAAAGAGAGAGTGTGTGTATGTTACCGGATGCCCCTGTACCCCGAATCCTTCACGTGCGTTGTTTTATCAAAAAACAACAAAATGCAAAGGGCATCACATGGTTTCATGGTTATCATAAATAGAATGACAAGGCTGTTTTGTTCGTGTAGAAACCGCCTTGACCAAATCTCCACACATGCACCATAAGACAGACTAAAGGTAGACAAATTTTTGTCACATACATTGCTATAGATTGTTTTGTTTTTTTAATCACACTTCCCGCTGGTTATAAGTGTAATTAATGAGCATTTACCTAACATCTTAATTTGAACAATAAATACTGTTACCAGATTTTTTCGGGGAGTGGGGTAACCTGGGTAATTGTCCCTGCCCCCATTCCAAAAAACAAACAAACAACTGTTGGTGAAAATTTACTGAATGGCACGCTTTCCTGAAGGGCAAAGAACAACTTCATTAGTTTACATTATATTATATATATATATACTGTATGTTAGTGTATGTGAGTGTACATTATATAGTAAACTGCATGTGAGTGTACATCATATAGTATACTGTATGTGAGTGTACATTATATAGTAAACTGCATGTGAGTGTACATCATATAGTATACTGTATGTTAGTGTACATTATATAGAATACTGTATGTGATGGTACATTATATAGTATACTGTATGTGAGTGTACATTATATAGAATACTGTATGTGATGGTACATCATATAGTATACTGTATGTGAGTATACATCATATAGTACACTGTATGTGAGTGTACATTATAAAGTATACTGTATGTGAGTGTACATTATATAGTATACTGTTTGTGATGGTACATTATACAGTATACTGTATGTGAGTGTACATCATATAGTATACTGTATGTGATGGTACATTATATAGTATACTGTATGTGAGTATACATCATAAAGTATACTGTATGTTAGTGTACATTATATACAATACTGTATGTGATGGTACATTATATAGTATACTGTATGTGAGTGTACATCATATAGTACACTGTATGTGAGTGTACATTATATAGTATACTGTATGTGGTGTACATTATATAGTACACTGTATGTGAGTGTACATTATATAGTATATTGTATGTGATTGTACATTATATAGTACACTGTGTGTGAGTGTACATTATATAGTATACTGTACGTTATGGATGTGCCGAAACCTTAGGATGAGTTAATCAGAAATAGAGGGTGAAATCTTTGTGAACGATCAAGTAGAAAAGTACCAGACGTGTTTTGTGAGGACTTAATGAATACTTTCTGAGCCTGAGACTGAACATGTCACTTTTCCAATGTTCATAAAAGGAAAAACAGCTTGTCGGTGAGTAACTAACTAACTTATAATGGACGTGTTGTTAAATAATATACAGAAATTGACACAACCGACGTTTATAAGAAATATGACGCATCACCAAGTGAATTGTAATTATTAATGTCATAATCATGACACACTAATATTTCTGAGATGTGTGAATAGGCAGCTCTCGGGACATCAGGATTTTATAATAACGTGTCATGAAACTTGCCACACGAATCACTGAAATTGCATTTGACAACCAGCATATGTTTCAATGTCTCAACTTTGACGACCAGCATATGTTTCAATGTCTCGACTTTGACAACCAGCATATGTTTCAATGTCTCGACTTTGACAACCACCATATGTTTCTATGTCTCGACTTTGACAACCTGCATATGTTTCAGTGTCTCAAATTTGACAACCAGCATATGTTTCAATGTCTCGAATTTGACAACCAGCATATGTTTCAATGTCTCAACTTTCAATTGCGTTTCATTTGGTGTCCACGTGTTTTGACGACAGTAGAAGCCTGTGTCCCTGTCTAGGGAAAAGTTCGCTTTCGTCGGAAAACGCCTCAGGCCGGGACATTTCCTGACCGTTCGGGGACGACGGAACAGACGATGAGAAAATAGGGACAGTCCCGGATGAACCGGGACGTGTGGTCACCGTAACAATAAATCTCAGAGTTTGATACTCTGTTTATTCTCTCATCTGTTGTGTTACTAAACACTTAGAACACTCATTTAACAGGCTATTATTTTTTTTTTTACATAACGTTCAGATACGAGTCTAAGTAAACTCAATTGTTTTCAGCTCTGCAGAGTTAGAGATTATTCAAAGAAAACAAAGACATAAACACAAGAAATCAATCGAACGTGGAAAAAAGTGGTGGGGGGGGGGGGAAGGGGGTCCAGGATTTTATTATTTTAAAAAGTATTTTTTTACTTACTTATCGTTTATTTTAGTGTTTTTTTGTTTATTTTATTATTTTAAAAAGTATTTTTTTACTTACTTATCGTTTAATTTAGTGTCTTTTTGTTTCATCTGTAAAGAGTCATTGACACACTTATCTTACATGCTAACTTTAGTGTCTCTTTGTTTCACCTGTTAAGAGTCATTGACATTCTAATTTTAACTGCTAACTTAAGTTGCTTTTTGTTTGTTTGTTTGTTTGTTTTTTATTTTTTAAATTTAGGTTTTCATTTCTGATGACTTTTTTTAGAAAGTTGTGATTTTGATCTCATTGCCTCATTCCATATCCTCCGCATCCGCATGTCCGACATCATTAATAATCGGCACATCCTGCGCCTTTGTTGAGCGTAAATAGAATTTAATGAGCTATAGTTAAGGGGTTCATAATTTTTGTATTGTCCTGTCCTTAAATTCAAGCTTCCACACAACTCGTTTTGCTACTTCGTATAGTTAAGGGTGACGGCGCTCTCCACTTGCAACACCGACAGACATTGACTTGTTGATTCGTAAAGCGACCATCAAAGACGTACCAGAAAAGTGTGCATGGGGAGCAGGGGTGGATGGGGGAGACACATCATGTTTTTTTTTTATGAAATCGAAAAATACAACTTCTACACTCCTGACTAGCATCAAGTCTATACCATTAAACCAGATAAACAATTTTGTCTTTGTGCTGTATGCAGGGCGTGCAGAGGAAATGCGGCGCCCTCACGGCGAGGCCCTTAAAAATATCGCTCATCAATGTATATATAGAAGTAGTGCCGGCGGTGGCGGAGCAGTCCATGGACTATTTCGGTGCTCTTGTGTGTTGTGAAGTATATGGGATTTTATCGTTTGATTCACTATTATATGTTCCTATCTAAAGACTATTTAGGCGTCTCACCTTTGATGGTGGGGCCCTTGGTGAATACCCCCATCGCTTCCTTCTCGCGGCCCTGACTGCAGGTTCAATACTTTCGTTTTCGGTTCAGCAAATAAACCGTTAGTAAAGGAAATCGATTATTTCAAAGGTAAAACTTAACAGCACAGCAAAATCTGACCACAAAAATTGTGTAGCTCGTTTTTTAACTACCCCCCCCTCCCCTTTCCTCCCAGAGAAATCCCTTTCTTCTCGTGGCACGGGAAAAGGTTCAGCCCCGGTCATCCGTATCTCCGTTTCTACGTTCGTGGGGGATTCAAAATATTTAAAAAACGGTATAAAAAACGTAGATCCCCCACCAAAAAAACAACAACAAACAAACAAACAACAACAACACCTTATAAAAAAAGATACTACGGCAATTCAAGGTGGAAAAAGTAGGCTCTAAACGAGAGTTGCCACCCTGGAACGAATGTACAATTTGCCATTCGCCTATTGATCGGCTGCTATGACTGCTCGTGGTTTAAACATATCTTTAACCTTTAGAGAGTGCCCCCTTAGTAAATTTTTAGCAATACTATTTTCAAGTAATTTATTTGAAAAATTTTTGACATCACGTCTACTTCAACTTTGGATCCCTTAACCGTCCAGCAAGGGTAGCAGGGTCCACGCGACGGCTCTGCTCTACACCATCTTCCCCCCTCCTTTTAGCGAAAGTTTTTGAAAAGGCCTCGGTGATATGTGATATTGAGGATATAAAACACAGTCGTATTTGGCGATGTCAAACGCGGTCATAAAAACTGCATTAGATCACTTTGTTAATGCGTGCATTTAAATCATATTACATTAGATGTGAAACCTTTGCTTTAAAACAAGTAGATTTAGTCGAACGGCTTGAATAACAAGAAGAAGATCAATTTTATGTATCTCGACAACCTCACTGGAAATATAGCCTGTAATCTGCATAATGTAGCTGGATAAACAGCACCCAAATAACCTGGTGCTTAAATTAAACAAGCCTTAAATTCCAGGCAGAATGTTATTTGGCGGATTGCACAAGCGGCACTGTGGTCTCCGCGCTAGAGCAGACATCGATCTTGTAATGGGCTTTTGTAAATGAATTGTTCTTCATGTACACATGTCTTTTATAAATACAGTAAATACCCCGACTTGCATGACTGTACAGTAATACACTTGAATTTATGTTTGCCTTCCGCCCCCCCCCCCCACCCAGCCCTTGCCCTAACTCAACCAATAGAATAAAGCCGTCTATAACTTGGTGTGTGGCCGCCATTTTGATACTTTTAAACGGTCGCCGTTGTCGTCATGTCGGAGACAAAGCAAATTTTTTTTTTTAAAAAAATCCAATTGAAGTATAGACTACCGGGTTGTTGTTTTTAAACTTAGTATAGATTAATCCAAGTTTATTGCACTCAGTCAACATCTGAAGCCTTAAAACTTGGAGGAAAATCTAAATCATGCGTGACGTAACAAACTTAAATAAGTGCAATGCACAATTTCAATTCAACAGCCGTTAAAAGAACAAAGTTGTCCGTATGAATCCTTTATAGGATTTTTTAATATTCTTTTATACTCATATTCTAATGCCCCACCCGCTTTCACACAGCAGATTTATCACAGCAACTATTTTAGAAAAAAACACATTATTAAGCCCCGGAGGCGTCGCTAAGGGAGGGGCGGGGGCAGATGACCCTAGGTTAGGGGGCGCCAAAATGTGCTTTGATATTATTTATTGATGAAAATAATGGGTTTGAGAGTTGAAAAAAAAAAAGGAAGGGAGGCTCTTTACAATGAATCTTGTCCCCGGAGCGCCAAACATTCTACATACGCCTCTGTTGAGCATCAAACAACCTTGCGAATTTTTTAAAAGAGTATCAATTAGCGCAGTTATAGGGAATTTAATTTCGTGAAACCAGTGGCCTCCTCTTATTTCCTTCTTTTTTCCTCCCTTGAAAAACAGGTTTTTGGGGGTTACCGTTGGGGCCGAGGGGGGGGGGTGGCAAACAATTTTTTTTTAAATAATTGGTTGTCATCGGAAACGATTCTATTTGCCATGTTATATTTCCTTCTTTTTTCCTCCCTTGAAAAACAGGTTTTTGGGGGTTACCGTTGGGGCCGAGGGGGGGGGGGCAAACAATTTTTTTTTAAATAATGTGTTGTCATCGGAAACGATTCTATTTGCCATGTTTCAGTTCGATAGGTTCACGGGAATTGGGTCAATTAGCCATCCGAAGATTTTGCCTCACTCCCAGGCAGAAAGAAAAAAAAACGCAAACAAAAGTGAAGTTAATATAAAAGATTTTAAAAAATGCAAACAATTTTTTTAAAAAAATTGTGTCAATTAAAATGTATTTATGAATTTATTATCGTATTTACAAGTATCTCATTTGTGCTTTTTAACTTTTATTCATCTGAACTAGACACACACAACACAATATTACTTCCCCTTGTTAGTGGACGCGTACAATCTGGCACATTCCCACAAAGTATTCTATCTTTAACTAATAAATTTGTTGATAAAAAATGAAGTTGTATTCAACGTCTTTGTCATTTCTTTGGACCCTGACTCTTGAGAACCTTCCATAACAAATAAAATATGTTGCCATGTCAATAATTGATTTTTCTTTTCCATGTTCGATATTTGAAGGGAATTATTCATTTATGTATGTAAATGTTCAATAAGTGTAAATCATAAGTCTGTTTGTAAGTCAATGTTTGTAAGTCAAAAGGTTTGTAAGCTAATAGTCAATGTATATGAATCCATAGTCAAAGTTTGTTTGTCAATATTTAAGCACAGCCTATTTGCATTCAGTCAACATTTAATTCTGTTCTCCATGAGTAATGTTTGTAATCAAGAAATGATATATATATTTTTTTAAACTAATCCTTGAAAATTAACAACCCCCCACCCCACACACACACACAAAATTAATTTTTGTTAGATAATTGAAATCACAGCCTATAATTGAAATCACAGCCTATAATTGAAATCACAGCCTATAATTGAAATCACAGCCTATAATTGAAATCACAGCCTATAATTGAAATCACAGCCTATAATTGAAATCACAGCCTATAATTGAAATCACGGCCTATATGTCCCTTAAATGAGTTTCACAAATAGAAGAACCTTTTCGAAAGCTCTTTATGTTCTTGGATCAAAGATGTTGTTGAATATCGTCAGATGTCCTCAGATGTTACCATTGCTTCTGATTTTACTTTGTCCTCAGAAGTTAATATTTCCTCAAATGTCCTCAGATGTTATTATGTCCTTAAATGTTACTATTGCTTTAGATGGTACTTTATCCTCAGATGTTACTATGCCCTCAGATGTTACGATGCCCTCAGATGTTACTATATCCTGCTTTCCCCCCTGGACTACGTCGTATGATGAAAAAAACACCATCCTGGACACACACAAACACAAATGGGAAAAAATAAATGGTTATGACACTAAGAATAACTAATAGTTATCTAATTAATAAATGAAATAAATAATTAAACAGGTTTAATAAGTAGAGTAGTATAATTGATGTGCCTTAGATGCGCCAGGTCCTAATGAAGTATTGCTGAACATTACCTCGGTATACAATGTGTGTGTGCATTTCCCTGCATTGCTTTAGACCAGGCCTGCACAACTCAAACTGTAAGGCAGGCCGTAATACGTTATGAAAAACTTCTGCGGGCCTTAATACTTTATGAAAAGCTTGTGCGGGGCGAAATATTGATAGGACAGAGAGAACGGTATTAAGAAAATAATAATAATAAAGAATATTTCGTTACTTCGTGGGGCCGACAAGTGGGTGCTGGCGGGCCGTATGTTGTGCAGGCCTGCTTTAGACCATTCCAGTATTATTTATCATCTTATGAAGTTGTGAGACCTTATTCCATCAAGTTCAAACTAATTTATATTAGATATTTAGAATACTATTACTAAGTAAACGTAAGATATGTTTTCAGGTTTATTATCAAATACCATATACAGAAAATAATAAGGTCGGTCAAATACTCTAAACACCTATCTAAAAATTTAAAATGAGTCAAGTGGACCAAAAAATGTATAGGCGATATAATTCTTTGTCAGCCTGGTTCTTTTGATGACAACAACATGTGGACTATTGATGTGTGAATATTTTCTAACAAATTTAGGCTCCCCAAAGTCGGCGGCCTTTAGCGCACGTGCTGTCTACCATATTACTTGTAAATAGTTTAGGTTTGACTGCAGCCGCAGGCCCTGATGTGATAGCAGAATGGTTGCAACAACTGGATCAAGACGGTGACCTGCTTTCTGGTGGGATTTATTTGGATGTCACTTTAAAGGTTAGAGGTTCGGTCACTGTTCGTGGACTGAGTTCAAAAATAGGAGTTGAAAAATATGCAAAGGAATTTAGCTTAGAGTTGATTATTAACTCCCTTTTATTTTATCATGGCGCCACCTACCCTGACAAGGGAAGGAAATCCAGACCAGAATGAAAAGTTGGGAAGAATCTCTTTGCCTTCGGCTTTACGTACAAACTTTTGAAAAATTATTCCAGCAATGAGGTAGACGATGAGAAGGACGAAAAATCTGAAAGGAATAATATGTTACGCCATGACGACGTATATAATTATGAGAGGCTGACCTGAGAAATATGATCACTTTTATATGTCAGCATACTTAGTCTAAGAAATACTCAACTCTGTTCAGTTTTTAACAATAATACATATGAGTGAGTACTTTTCCTAGCGCTCTTATTTGTTATCAATGATTTAAGGCATATATAATTTATGTTTCTGCAATTTAAATATTATAGATTTGGTAGGTCATTTAAATTAAAGTTATAGGTAGACTTGGTAGGTCATTTAAATATTATAGTTAGAGATAGATTTGGTAGGTCATTTAAATATTATAGTTATAGATCGATTTTGTAGTCATTTAAATATTAAAGTTATAGATAGACTTGGTAGGTCATTTAAATATTATATTTATAGATAGACTTGGTAGGTCATTAAAGTATTATAGTTATAGATAGATTTGGTAGTCATTTAAATATTAAAGTTATAGATAGACTTGGTAGGTCATTAAAGTATTATAGTTATAGATAGATTTGGTAGGTCATTAAAGTATTATAGTTATAAATAGATTTGGTAGGTCATTTAAATATTATAGTTATAGATGGATTTGGTAGGTCATTTAAATATTTTTAAATATTCAAATAATTTAGTGTATGGCTTTTTGTGATTTTTTAAAATTTTGCAAAGACGATTTGCACTTTCTTTTAAATCTCCCGCTCTTTGCAGCGGTCTTCGCTGCCTTTGGGGTACATTCAAATGTTTGTAAAACGTAGAAACTTATCAGTGGTTGGTACCAAAATCATGTTTGATGTTTCTAAACTCGATTCCAGTAAGTTTAGTAGGGCTAATTAAAACAGACCCCATATAATATTTTTTATTGTCAGAATAATTTATTTCCTATCATTTCACGTTATCGCCATCCAATCCATGTTTACTAAGCCAAACCATGTCACCCACAAATGATTTGAAAGCGGATATGATACGAACCAACGCAGTTACTCTTTTCTCTCCGAAAATGTTTTTTTTCCCTACATGGTCTTACCCCGCCCAGGTGTCGCCTCCCCCCCCCCTCACGTTTCTCAAATTATTAAATTACTAACGACTATTGAGGAAAAAAAATGTAATCTTTATTGTTGACACAATCACAGAAATGCTAGATTAAGACCAGTGGAGACCCCTCGGTAACCCAAATCCACCCATGTGGCTTAAATGAGGTCCGAAGAGGAGGGCGACCGCCACGGGTGAAATTTCGTCAGGGTACGTCAATACAACCGACGTAAATTACTGTTTCGTTAACTGGGTAGCTTTCATGTGTACCCTACACGGCTAATCAAAGAGAGTCGTTGCTCCGAATCATGATGATATCTCACATTTTCAACTACTGGGCATGTCAAACTTACACGATAACCAGCACACTGCCCACTGAGATGGACACCTCGATGGTGACGCCACCTGCTATCGCGCAGCATTTTTTACTGTTGAGTTTGAAGCCCTGCACATAGAAAGAATTTAGTTTAGCAGTCTGAGAGGTATATTTACACTGACAAGCAGGCTCATTGTCGGTGATAGTGGAAAGGAAATAGCAGTGTTCTTGACCAAAAAAATTCATTTCTTTTCTTCTACTTATGCCAATAGAAAATCCTTTGAATTCTTAGCATTATGTTTTTTTTTTCTAATTGCCTAAGTGTTATACTTGGACATAAAAGATGTCTTTTTTATTTTTTTTTTATTTATGACTTGATACTGAATGGTTAGATCTAGTTGGGATATGTAAGAAATACAGGGACACACTATTTATATTACACAAACAAACAAAGTCTACACACATTGCTTCAATGATTTAAGAAGATACGGTGCATTTAATGCGCTGTTCGGGTTTTCCTGCTCAAAATTTCCAGGAGCAGAACAGAACCTGTTCACAAGCGTCATTTTGATCACAGTAGTAATTGTGTTAAAATAGTGTTTTATACTTTTATGACGTAATACAACCCTTGATGGGGTTTTTTGCAATTAAAAGTACTTGTTAATTATCCGTATACCCTCCTAAATGACATTATTGATAAATATTGACCTTATTTTGTTATTAAAAAAAAAAATTCCAATGTGGTTTGTTTGTATTGTGTTTATCTGATTAGAAATTGTTTTTCTTTGAATAACATTATGAACTTTTAAATCACTACTAAAATGAACTTTAAAAAAAAAATGTTTATACCAAATAAAATTTAAGCAAAATATACGTACATAATGCCCTGTTTGACCTTCACCTTGAATTTCTATTGCATCACCTTCTGTAGTAATACAGTTGAGAAGTACTCGACTGTATCTAAAATGTAATATAATTTTATAAACATGAGTAGCTAATATTTCCGGATTGTGTCACTGGTGTATATAAATATTATAAATATTGTCGGAAATATTTAAAATATTCTCGGTTATATAATAACTATTCCCGGAAATAGGCCTCGAATAAATATTCTCGGAAATAGGCATGCAATAAACATTCTCGGATGTTGACATTAACATTAATGAAAATTGCGCATTGTTTATCATTACAGGTTCCAGTTTGTGACCGGCGAAGATGGACAAGGTGAGCTCACCTTGTCAAGCCTGTACCATCTGTTTTGGAGTATTCAACGGCAGGTAACCCACTTGTCTGGTCAAGCAGGAAGTTTGCAGACTCCTGTGAACCACATTCAAAATACTGACCAGCGTTATTGAGCTGACACACCTGTAATACAATTATGAAAGTAAAGTTGTGTTATAAAAATTAGTTTACATTTCTTGCATGAAAATGTAATTTTAATAGAAAATTATACCCGTTAAATTAATTTGTACAAATAAAAAAAATAAAGGGAATTAGTGTATCAAGGTGTGGAGCTTATTTCCAAAGTCAAAGTTAAAGATGATCCGAAAAAGTAAAATTATCATCACTTACAAAGTTTTCAGCCTCCCCCTCAATAACTCTCGTCTTTGTGAAAAGATCGGAATTCTTTTCATATAGGCTATATATTTTAACTATCTTTTGAAAAAGCAAAACTTTAATAATGTGTTGTTGTTTTTCTTGTTGTATATTGATGTTGCCCTATGAATTTGATTTTTCTTGTTGAAAATAGATGGTGACCTATATCATTTCGCTTGTTGAATTTAAAAAAATTTTTTTTTTTTTTTTTTTTGTTTTTGTTATTGCACTCCATGCCCTCTTACGTGTGGGTTTGGGGGTGGGGGTGGGGAGGGGGGGAGAAAGGGTTACAATATGTTATCAATTTTTTTTTTTTTTTTTTTTTGGTTAAAATAAAATGTTCTCAATCAACCTTAAAATGTCGTCATTTGAGTAAGGTTTGTTCAGTAAAAACATTAAAATAATGTTTCAGCTTTCAGTACATAGAAACACAATTTTTGTTCACAATAATTTTACAAAATTGCTCCGTTACACCCAATTGCTGGCCAACACACTATTAAGCAGGGGTGGACTGGGCCGCCGGGACACCGGGAAGATTCCCGATGGGCCGCTAGGACCGGTGATATAATACAAATAAAAGTCATGAAAATAGGGCCACTTTTTTGTTTTTTTTCCCGGGCCGCTTGAACTCCCCAGTCCACCCCTGGCGGGCCGCTTGAACTCCCCAGTCCACCCCTGGCGGGCCGCTTGAACTCCCCAGTCCACCCCTGACTATTAAGATTTATTTAAATTGTTCATATTTAGTTCGCCGAAAGGAACACATTAAGTACAAATATGAAGATTTGATTTCCTTGTACTGAGATCTTAAAAAATAAGAGTTGTTACAATTGATGACATGGAACTTTAGGCCTACATCCGCGATTGCAACCTGTTGGCATAAGTCAAATCTGAAGACAAAGGGATCAGAGGCAGCATCAAAAATTGACGGTGTTGGTCAAATTTTGCACCAATGATGATTGCTCATTCAGAATTACCACACCAAAAAAAAAAAATGTGAACTTTAATTTTGCATTCCTGCTCATCTTGCAGACATGGAGAGGCTGTTCACTGATAAACTCTCAGTGTACCAAGGAGCAGAATAGACTTACTGTGGAGTCGATGAATCAATAATACTCACACTATACAATTATAAGAATATGACACGCTTGAATTTTTAAAGTAACCTCTTAAAATGAAGAAATTTTTTCAAAATTTTCTGGGTCTGTAAAGTATGAATGCTTAAATGCCTATGTAGGGTCAAAGGTTATAGTTTGCTATGAATATAATTATATCATAGTAATAAAAGTGGGTCCGGGCCATACGCTCGGGCTTGAGATTCACATAGATCTTAAGCTATACAATCTCTTACGAGATCAGTACGAGATAACATTCTACATTTCTAAGTGCCAATGAATAAATGGTGTTCTTTTTTTAACGCGATCACTTCAGAGCATATAATATAACAGACAGGGCCGAATAGAAAAAGTAGTTAATTGTATTTTTGCAGTTTTGAGAAAAATGAGTTTAAAGTTATATATTGTTATATTTTTTTCTCAAGTCTGTTAAAGTCCTTTAATAAGCTGTTACATGGATTTCTATATCATACGCTTAAGGTACATTTTTCATGAATGATATTTACAGAAAAGGTGCAGGGGAAGTAATCAAATACAATGCCGGTCTTAATTCATTTTTGAATAAATGTAACTTGAGTACTTTTTCCTACTCGACTCTTCTAAAGTTTGCATGTTTTCACACATTGATCGGGAGAGTTGAAGCATGTCGTGCAACCGGAGTCCCTCATAAGCTCTGAGAAAAAAAAAGGGGGTCCACATTATTAACACATACGCAATAATACTATGTACAAGTTCATCGATTATAATCCAATATTGGAATCCATTTCATACCGCAACATTGACACAGGTTCCTTCTGTGAAAGGCTTGCAAGGGTTGTACGAGAAACGGTTATTGTAGAACTGGTCATAGGTGTCCTTCCACCTGAGGAGAGAGATGGTCAAACATTGCCTTAATATAGTCTTATAACAATAAATTATGTCTAGGAAAACTTACATTTGGGAAAAAAAACTTTATTATTATTATGTGGTACGGACAAGCCGACCTTTTAAAATTTATTGAATATGGCTACATAATACAAGATATAAATACACCATATGAGGCAGTCCATAAAGTAGGCCACGCTGTTTTGGAGAATTTTTATCCCCTCCCTCCCATGTCACAGTTTATTCCAAACCTTAAGATCCTCCCCCCCCCCTTTTTTTTTCTTTCTAAAGTACGATACTCTTTCCAACAATAAAAGTGTAAAAAAAACTCATTGAAATTTCATCGTCTGTATAAATACACCCATGGCACCAGAAAGTTCAACATCACTATATAAATACATCCATCACAACAGAAAGTTCAACATCACTGTATAAATACATCCATCACAACAGAAAGTTCAACATCACTGTATAAATACATCCATCACAACAGAAAGTTCAACATCAATGTATAAATACATCCATCACAACAGAAAGTTCAACATCACTGTATAAATACATCCATCACAACAGAAAGTTCAACATCACTGTATAAATACATCCATCACAACAGAAAGTTCAACATCACTGTATAAATACATCCATCACAACAGAAAGTTCAACATCACTGTATAAATACATCCATCACAACAGAAAGTTCAACATCACTGTATAAATACATCCATCACAACAGAAAGTTCAACATCACTGTATAAATACATCCATCACAACAGAAAGTTCAACATCACTGTATAAATACATCCATCACAACAGAAAGTTCAACATCACTGTATAAATACATCCATCACAACAGAAAGTTCAACATCACTGTATAAATACATCCATCACAACAGAAAGTTCAACATCACTATATAAATACATCCATCACAACAGAAAGTTCAAAATCACTGTCAACGTCACGTTGTAAATATGTATTAAATTTTTAAAAGGTGTGACGTCACACAAGATATTTACGCCCCCCCCCCCCTTGTCATAAGCTGTAACACTTTCTTAGACTACCTCCCCCCACTCCTACCCCCCTTTTTCTTTTTTTTTCGGAGTGTGACGTATTTTATCGACGGCCCCTATATATAGTGTTTTAAGGTTACTAAATGAGCTTAGAGGTCCTAAAAATCTTCACGCCCCAGTTGAAAGGCTACTCAAATCAAATCTCCAGCTCCAACGAGATGTTTTAATTGGCTTAGATCAGAATTTTGACATTTCTTTTGGCGGCATCCACTTGGGTAAGTGAGAAGAAGCTCTGAGACCAACTGACAGTAACTTACAATAAAATCAATATACGTTTATGAGCTATTAAGGATTATTAAAAGTAGTTTCTGGAGTGACAGTCAGTTAAAATGATTAAGGTAAGCAGTTTAGAGGCCCCGTTTTTATAACCGAGTGCCTAAATATTGGATCTTTTTAATAATATTCAATGCTATCTATAATATAGTCGACGTTATCCACACTGTGGCAGCGTCTCGTTCAAGTTAAAAAGATAAATTGCTATATAAAAAAATAAAATATAAAAAAAAAAAAATATTTAAAAAAAAGAACTTCATTAGAAAAAAATCCCTAATGATGAAATTTTTTCAGCTAAAATCGAGGTAACCAGATCACTAGTTATAAGCAGATATAGTTGTTTGTTTTTTTTATTTGGAGTTCCTGTCTGACCGAGTTGTGCTTGATTTTTTTTAAAACTACTACAAAATAGTATCATTCGTGTGACTTTAACTTTAATGCATGTATCTATCAACTTCCACACTCTCCACCCTCTCCTTTCTCTACCATCTACACCAGCGATTCTCAACGTCGGCCATATGGCCTCGGGGGCTGACAGGCCCGGGGGGGGGGAGGCCATGAGTAATTGTCTGTAATTTGTAATTTAAATCTTCAATATGATCAACCAAGCTTTTATCAGAATTTTTTATTTAGTTGAGTAGCGCCCCTAGAACCCTGGCTACTGTAACTTAGTGTTTTACAGATCAAAGAATATCTCATACACAAATAATTATTTTTTGGCGCCCCCCCCCCCATCTTTTTTCCCCCTAGTACTCACTTAGGTTCGCTCGTTGTTGACGCTAATGACGAAAAATCTATGTGCTTGTCAGAATACGTACAACTGCACGGCCCAGTTTTGGTACAGACCTCCACTGCAAGTACACACACTGAATTGGTCCACAGAAACAGAACTGTGGCCACTGCAATAAATCGATTCATTTCACTTGATGAAATGACGTACAGTCAATGACAGTCAAATAACAGGAAAACGCGGTGGTCCAATCTACGCACACTGATGTGGGAACCAGTGATTCCTACCCCAGTGTTTGGGATATGTACATCACCATACTAACACCATAAATATCTTCATCCGCTCTGTTATCTTTTTATCATTGATATGATAAAAGATCCACACAACACGCCGTACGCTCTTTGCTTATGATTTCACCATTATATTGTTTCTTTTTTTTAATTCTTTTTTTTTAATAGAATCGTAACTTCGGCATAGGAGGCGTGAGTATATTTCTTGAGCTGAGAATAAAACCAATTATAAATAAGAGTTATAAAATGAGTCGCTGGTCAACGATTACTTCGAAACGCTATATCGAGGTCAACCAGGAACAGCTTCATTAAAAATAAATACTTTTTTTTTTTTTTTTAAAAAGAAAGATAGTTTGACTAAATAAGGCAATAACCCTGTTAGCTCCATGAGACGTTTAGATTCTTTGTTTTGTTTGCGTTGTTTTTTAAAAATTAATAATCGGCATTGATATCGCAGCGCCTATGACTCTATAAAAATGCAGCTGATTACGACCCCTGAGCTGATTACAGTCCCTGCTCTGCCCACATGGACAAAACTAGACTAGTTCAAAGACTCCTGCTAGAGATCATTGTGTGTTCAGATTCCCGCTGATAAAAACCATCAGCATGATGTCATGTGGCTCTGAGTTTAACACGCGGAAATTGAAACAGGTGTCCTAACAGCAACAGTACATTTGTTCACAGTATAGACAGGAAAGTGAGTTCAAAAAACTTGCTTGCTTCCTTTCTTCAACCTAAAGGCCTATAAGCTGCAGGGCTTGTTGTAGAACGCCCCGGAACGGCGTACCGGCACCTCTCTTTGTTGAAGAACCCCCCCCCCCCCC